AGAGAATGATGTTCATGCCACTCTGGGTGAAGCATGAAGCCATCTAAACAGGCTTCGGATCTGTTACACTAATGCCCGAAGCTTGCTCAATAAGCGACCGGAACCAGGTGTACAGATTGACTCTACAAAGCCAGACATAATCTCACTCACAGAAACTTGGCTGACGCAGTCTATAGATGGTGTGGAACTTGATTTTAAGGGTTTTACGTTAGTAAGGGCCGACAGAATACAAAAGCATAAAGGAAGAGGAGTAGCTCACTTTTACTAGATCTTATATCGATCCATTATGAGGATGATGCTAGAAACCTCGACTACATGCCACCCCTAGGTACAAGTGATCATGTAGTTTTAACTTTTGACTTCCATATAACTGTCAGTCACGAGCACGCGTCAGCTCAATCCAGACCAAACTTCTGGGAAGCAAACATACCAGATATCATGCACTCAGCATCGTTAGTAGATTGGACAATAGATCCAGAGTCCTCAATTGAAACGGCCTGCGACGCATTTCGAAATTCATAATTGAAGGTTACCACACCCCACATCCCTTGGACTATACCAAGGGGGCCGAGAAACTCCCCACCATGGTTCAGCAAGGAGGTTCGCATCCTTCTCCGTAAGAGAAGAAAAGTGTGGGATAGATTTAGGTTACTGAGGACTGATGAGACAAAATCTCAGTATAGAAAAGCTCGGAATACTTGTGCCTCGACCCTCCGTAAGTCCAGAAAGTTGTATGAAGAAAAAGTTGTTAAGGAATCCATAGATTGTTCTAAACGCTTGTATTCCTACATAAACCATAGGACAAAGAGAAGAGGAAATACTCCTGCTTAATGGAGTGCCTCAGGGTACAGTTTTGGGGACAGTGCTTATCCTCATGTATATAAATGACCTTCCTCGTCTCCTATCATCATCGGTCTTGCTATATGCTGACAATGTCAAGATATGGAGAACGATACGATGTAAGGGTGATAGCTTAGAACTCCAAAATGACCTGGAGAAATTATCTGAATGGTCTCAAACCTGGCAGTTGCCGATAAATACTTCCAAGTGTGTTGTGATGCATATCGGTCATTAAGGTACAGATACATACACGATGAATAACACTGAGCTACGTGTCGTCCAGACATATAATGACTTAGGAGTCATCGTTAGCCAAGACTTAAAGACTACTGCACACTGCTGTGCGATAGCCACCAAAGGTTTTAAAACCTTATGGTCAATACGTAGGGCTTTCAGTCACGTCGACGCTAAAACGTTTTTGATTTTGTATACAGTGTTCGTACATCCTAAACTTGAGTAGTGCATACAAGCGGCTAGCCCCTGCTTAAAAAAGACAGTGAGCTTCTGGAACACGTTCAGAGAACGGCAACTAAGCTGATTCCCGGAATAGCGAAGCTTCTGTATGAAGCTCGACTGACCAAGCTGAACCTTTTCCCGTCGTCATATCGCAGAACTAGAGGCGACTTGATAACAGTTTTCAAATTGCTTGGTGATAAATTTGCACCTGATATGCCCTGATTTTTCTTGTCTTCCAAAACAGAGAATTTACGAGGATACTCCAAAAGAGTTCACGATTCCAGGACAAATTACTTGTCAGTTGACTATCAACTTTCCCATCAAATCATCAACGAGTGGAATTCATCACCTCAGCACGTGGTTGAGGCTCCATCCGTCGACTTTTTCAAAAGAAAGTTGGATCAACTGAGAGAACACCATTGCCGGGACTAACACAGGCCATCAAGTCTCCTGTCCTTTCCAAATTGGAACTGAACTGAAACTGATTAATGAGTTCATTCTTGAATTCCTACTGCATTACAAACTGACTCGGTATAAGTCCAAAGTAATTCGGGTCAAATACGTGGAGAAAACTGAACGAGCAATCCAAGTTAAATCACATATTTCTGGCACTCATATCTCCTTTCTGGTCACGGAACTCAGCAATAAGACAGGCAGTGGTCACGTCATAAAATATTGTATAAGATAGTTTGTGAAGATAAATAACGTTTAATCTGGAAGACAAAATCATCGATAGATGGTGGATTCTTACTAACAGCAAGCACATACTATATAGGTATATGTGCCTTGTGGCTATCCTGGTAAACCGATATGCCAGCAACTAAAGTTTATGGCAAAGTAAAATAAACTAACACAATCAGTAAAAAGCCAAAGATGTAATAGGTATTCAGAGCTTGACAACGCCTTTTACGTAACACCTTTAAAATCGAGCTATACTAACCCAGCCAAATCAGAAATCGGAAATGTAGAGGTTTGAAGACTTATTTAGAAAGCTGTCGATATGTTGACAAGCGTATGGTCTAAGCTGACTAGCAGTTGCAAGGGATGAGTGGCACAGCGTACCTACTCGTGGTTTGGTGTGGATGCGTGACCAAGCGCCTTCATCTAGGATGTGCTCATTAAAACTAACGAGGTTAGCATCAGTGTCGAAGATTTACAGAACTATTTATCTCGGGGATTTATTTACCTCTAAGAAAAGCTATTCAGTTAGAGTGATGCAATGAGTAAAATAGAATTGTAAGTAGGAGTGAAAAATTACTTGCTCACTTTGAACCGAACATGAATGAGATACACAGAAATAAAGGTAACTTAGCATCTGCGGCACATCAACGGTTGCTCCCTACTGAAATGTATATATTGAGGGATTCTGAAGCACACGCGAACATACACTTACTGAAACAGTTCAACACTACTACTGTAGTGAGGGAAAACACAGGTGAGGACAACCGAACTATATTTAGCACACAATTACAGAGTTACTTGGTAAAATAGAAAAACCATACTATAATACCTAATTTGCAAAATGTTCAATAATTGTCTCAGACTTCGTTGTTCTTGTATTTCTATACTAATTGCTTTCTATTCCCGTTCTTCCTTTCTTGATCTTCCCAATCTTCTGCTGCCAGAAATTACATTCTTGACTCGCGTTATATACTACTTATGTCAATATAAGTAACACGCACCACACTACTATTCGGAAAAGCAGTAGAGAAATTATGAGACATAAATGTACGAATATGTTCATATAGCAATTACAAAATTAGCACCAAAGCTGAACATGTAGCCCTGAAAGTCCGAGTTGCTTTAATGGTAGCATAGGCTCGACCAGCTCCAAGCACTTTAAATACGGGTTGACCGCCTTGAAACATTTATTACTACTGATTATTGTCTGTTGCTATCATTGTTAAATGTAAGTGTATTGTGTGTTCTCGATGGGTCATCGGCACACTTTTTCCAAATTCCCCTTGCCCCATTCTAGATGCTTCCCTAGAACATAAAGTACCTTCTGGCAAGACGCGTACCACCACACTCGGCACTGCAAACCCCTCTGACATACAACAACTGGCAAGTGGTCACCAGTCCCGCAGAACAATGATAATGACTTCAAATAGACTTGTTAGTATTATCGTTGTATCCGAAGAAGATTAAGTCATGGGTAACTTCCAGGAAATATTTATGGACCATTATTAAATATATATTTTTCTTGTATAACAGTTAAGTAACTAGATTACATGTATCTATAATTCTCTTATTTGAGCTTTCGTTTAACCTATTGGGTACTATTATACAACTTATTATTCTCAAGTTATCCCCAATCTATTAGTCACACTATCTTACACTCAGAACCATTTCTGACTTCATCTTGCACATTTGTTATTTCCTATTTTATGGCATAATGCGATCTGATTTGCTAGTATATAAACTGTATATGTTCGAAATACACGATTCCTACCGTAGGAGCTGAGATTGTGTCCCGGACTCAAGCGGGCAGGGCTAGGCAAGGAGAACCAATAAGGACTCAGAGACTGACTTTAGGCTGCTCGTACTGGTTAACGCGTCACTGGTTTGGCACAGGGCCAAAGACGTGTAGGTCGATGACCCAATTTGAGGTTTCGTCACGTGTTATTTGGCGGGCCTTAAGATCATGACAATTATTTATTGTAAGCAATAACTTTGCCTATTTCACAATGTATATGGGCAGGACGTCTGCCGTTTACTAATACGATATTTGCGGGAAAAGTTCGGGATTTCCTCTGTTTAAGACTAAGGGACTGTAGATATTGGTGAGACACTATTCCGAAATCAAATAAATTTGAAGTGGGAACCAGGAAATGTGAAGAGTATTCGAGTATTTCTAGAGCGTAATTAGACATGGAGTTTGTAGGATTCTTTATACTAGACAAGGTAAAAATGACAATATTTGTCGTGACAAGTTGGAACGCATATCTATGTCGCTTGTGAAGACAATCCAAAAAAGTCCAAACACACGTAAATCTTTTTGTATTGCCCCGTGAATAGATTTCTAAACAGTTTTCTCCCGTCTCACGGTACTAATAAAAAAACTACACATGAATATGCACACACTTGGGAAAGGTGGAAAATCATAAAGTCAATCCAGATGACGATGATTAGTTTTTAAGTGACGTCCACACATTAAACTAAGATAAAAGAAACTTTACTGACTGATTGCGTCCCGTTCGAGTCGAAAGGAGAAGATATAGAAGACTAGAAACGAAGTGGACTAATCAAGTTAGCAAACAAAGAAATCCAGTTCGAATACCACAAAACATTGAAAGCACTGAACAATGAAAAAAAGACATATGAACTCCCTAGCCATCAAATTCGAAATTTTCACCTCTAAAGGTGACATACTTTCAACATTATCTATCGTATTCTCCCAATAGGATGCGAAAGTGCCTTCCATGTGATGTTTGAGTTAGTAACCCAGGCCTATAAACTGCACGAAATGCTTTAATATCATTGCATCACAGACAATTAAAATTTACCCAAAAAAATCTAATAATTCTCAACTTTTCATTTTTATATGCCATATATTTCTTAAAATACTTTTATAGTTAACCTTTCCTACTTCCCATATTCTATGCTTTAATATTTATGTAACCTTGAATGTTGATAAATGATCTTAGTTGGTTACATAAGCACCTTGTTAGAAAACAAACACGTCTATAGAAATCAATCAAAGTAAGAGATAATTCTTTTAAATATTTATTAATATTGCCTTGATAAATGAATAGTAGATCCACTATTAACTCATATTTTCTATAGTTCAATTGACCGCGTTAAATTAACACAATGAAATGTAAATATCGATTATATCAAACATAAAGAAAAAAAATCATTTAAATTAAGTATATTTCTTATAATCTTCAAGAGTTTAACACTGTTGTTGAAAAGAAGAGAACAAAAGAATAAATTTCATGATATACAAGGCAACAACAACAACAACAAAGAAGATATGACTTGTAAAATATAAAAAATTACTTTGATTTTGTTTTCAAATAATCAAATGGACAAAAATTACAAGATTTAACTTCTTTGATATTGGGAATAAAATGGAAATGATAAAAGGAAACAATGTATTGATTATGTTTCTCATTTACTATTGATTATTTATTTGTTCAATAAAACTTATGTAATTAAATAGATGAAAGTGTAATTTATTCCTTAATAAGAAATAAAATCATAACTAACAATGTTTAATGATAAGTGAGTTAAATACTTATAATGAGAATAAGTTTAAAATAAAATAAAGATATTCTGTATTAATGAGTATAGTATTGATAGTAGTAATAATAGTAGTATAATGTCGTTATTGAAAACAGGATTAGTGTATATACACACAAATGTATAAAAAGCACACGATCCACGTGTGTACACATTGATACATATTATATTTAAACAAAAAGAAAATATGTATTGATAGTAAACAGTATAAACAATGGCTGTTTATTTTTAGGTGTATTCATGCATTTTGTTTTTTCAAAATAAAACAAAACAAAACAGGTTGCTAATTACCACGTACACATACAAAACAAAAAACAAAAAGGAAACGTATTTTTTGAGTATAATACAATCATGTCTATTTTTTTAAATACAAATATTTGGAAGAAATTGAATGATTTAAAATGGAAGGCACATAATGTTTAAATTTTAATGTAGAGAAATAATTAAAACAAAATAAAAAGAAGTAGAATGTTCTTCGAAAAAGAGTAATAAACTAAATTAAATATGATAAAATACATACACGCATACATATACAAACAAAAAAGATACACGAGCATACCTGATGCAAAAGAGTTTGTGTATGTACGTGTATAACATGGTGATAAAAACGCCAAAAGCAATGTCTATTTCAAACAATTGTAAGTGATATATATGTATAGAGGATGGGCTAAAGACATAATAAGTCTTGAAAATAAACAGTGTCACAAATGAAATGCATGTTATTAAAAAAAACGTTATACAGCACACATACATACACACACACAAATATAATCTAGATCGAAAACATATCCATCTTCCTATTCTGATTATCATTATCATACAATAAAAATAATGATTTTTTATGACGGGATTAATCAGATGTCTGAAAGTTAATCAACTCATTACTGATAAACTGGATATTAATTTCTTTTTTTGAATAAGTGTTTGAGATGGTATTCCAAGAATATTGCCTACTAATCTTAATCATCACTAGAGTCGACATATCCACTTGAAGTGGTTGACTTCTGAGAGTCATTACGACCAATATTTGTTGTTATCGTGGTATTAGTGTTAGTAATAATATTTGTTGTTGTTGTAATAATAGTAGAAGGATCAATAGAAGTGGTAGTTCCAGACATAAAAATACCAGGACATGGTGATACAACATCAATAACATCGTTATCAATGAGTAAATCATCGTGTAAAGACGGTGTCTTATCTAACTGATTGTTTTGATCCAATGAAGCATCATCAAATATAGAAGCAACGCCCACGAATTTAGGAGTTGAAGTGTCTGAAGTGGAAATAGTTCCAGATGATGTTAAAAGATCGTTATGATTTTCTGATATTTCTTCCACTGTTTCATCGTTGTTCACGTGATCATCATCAATATCATCCATTTCTTCTTCATAATAATAATCTTCATCTTCATCTGTGGCAGATGGTGCACATCCGCTGTCACGAATAACATTCACTGTTTTCTGTTCTGCATCATTAGATTTTGTGATATGATTAGAGAAATAGCTTTTGGCATTTTCCAACACATCAGACACAAGTTGTGCAGCGACTGAATTCAAATCTAAAAAAATAAGTATACAGAAATAAAGTTCACACTTTACAAGCAGAGGGATCCAAAACGCGCGTGTCGTCCTATTTGTAACTCGTTATCAGGATGTACCTGCATCCCAGAGTTAATGTTCACTCCGAGACTCGAACCCATTACCGTTCGCCTCAAACGTTATTGCGTCATCCACTTAGCTACTGGGTGAAAATGACTACTAGCTTGTGCAATAGCGTGAAGTTTAATTCAGCTTTGTATTGGTTGCTTGAATCTTTCCATGTTTGTCTAGGAATACAATTGATCAGTTTCGTATTGGCATATGTCCATCCTGTGAGGATTGACTCAATATTGCCTTAAGTCACGAGCATTATAAGCAGAAATGGATGATGGCTATCAGAAAAATCTAGGACGTGCGTTTCGTCTTATTTGGGATTTGTCAGCGAACGGTACTGAGTTTAGTCCCGCGTAGAGTAGAGAGTATAGATTGTTTAAAAGTCATAAACTAGGATGAAACATCTGTTCAGTACTTTATAGTTACTAACAGATGTTAATGACGAGAACCCTCTTTAAAAAACTTCATTTGTAGAAAAATAAATACAAGTACCTTGATCTGAATTATTTACAGATAAATCAAATCTACTATGCAATGCATCCGATTGTTCAGTGGAAAGTGTGTCCAGTTTTAATGTGTCAGTTGCTTGTGAACAAGACAAATCGATGATAGAGTTCGCCAATGTTCTAACTTCTTCATCTTCAACTTCATCAGTACTCCCACTGACCGGACATTCAGCATCGCCAACTTTAGCCCAATGAACTTGCGAATCGATTTGAACAGATGGTCTTGATAAACTTTTTCTTGAACTAGTAGATTCTTTTAATAAATTATTCGGCGATGGGTCTTGATGAATTAACTAGAGGATAAAATAAAAATTCAAGTAAACTAGAAACTAACTTGATTAGGATAAAAAAATGTAACTTTAAAACGAATTTAACACGCGAATATTCCTTAATACGAAATAAGACATCATGAGAAGAAAAGTGATAAATCAGAAACATAAATATGACCTTGTCTATAGTTAGCAAATGATATCCCAAAATCATCTAACAGTCAATTCGAAAAAAGATGTTCTCCAGGTAGAAAACGAAAAGAATTTTGGAGGGTGAAAACAAGTAATGACCAACCCATGCACTGTGCTTTGGTGAAAAAATACGCTCCAGTTATTTTTCTAAAGCAACATCAACATGTCTAAGAATTCATTACGTATCTACGCTTTCACTACCTTAATGGAAGACTTAGAGCAGTCATGAAGGATAGTAGTATTAAAATATTAAAAAAAACAAAAATGAGCCTCATGCTTCCCTGCGAATGTAAGTTTCATCTACAAAAATGATTCAGTTATTACAAAAGATTTCTTCAAATTAAACTATGTGGTACGAACTATTATTCTAACTTTGGGATTTTTGATTTTTATTAGAGTCATACTAACTACTAATAAGTAATTTAAGATTATAAAGTAAAATATACGGAATTTTCAATGTACTACGTTCAATCTTTGTAAGCGACAAACGTAAAATAGTCTTAACTTTAACATACACACCTTAAACTTAACTCATAGTTATAAAGAGCAGTAACTGGTGCTACATCTTTCTAAACATGTCTTACATGTTGAACACGAAGTTAATAAACAACATACCTTGCACAAACACATGACAGATTTTGTAAATACTGGAGCCATTGTAATCAATTCTTTATTCAATAAGTTATCAAAGAAAGTGAAATCTAAATTTGAAACAGGGCCTGCTTCAGACTTCCTTGATCTGCATTTGGATTTTCGCTTGTCCTGAATCTCGATACGACTACGTTCACTATCTGAACCGACTAGGTTTGGTGAAGAACGTGTAGCTTTGGAGATGGAGTCATCTGGTTGAGCATCGATAACATTAAACCGAGATCTTTCTGATTCAGTACTACCAATTACTTTATTGCTTCCAATATTCAGCACAGGGTTCCGGCTAAGTGACTCTAGATAACCTTCTGTCCATGACAATGAACTTTGTCTTTTCTTCTGCCGCATTAACATATCGAGCTGTTGATGACCTTCATCGTTTATAGATTCAAGATGATTTTGTATTTGATTTAGAAAATATGTTGAAGGTTGTGGAGCAAGAGTTCGAGTTATTAAATTGTAACATTTTGCGAAATATTTTATCTGGAATAACAGGATTTTTCCAGGATTCAAGATATCATTCACGTCATCGCCCTTTGAACCAAAAGTCCGACGGGATGAATGTAAAGAAAATAAACAATGTTTAATACAACTTTGAGAAGTATGTTTTATTGTATAATGATTATAACTGAACTGTCAAGTGACATCAGACTCATTATTAAGAATGGATAGAAAATGAAATAAAATTTCGCATAGAAATGAGCTCGCTCAAGTTCTTGCACTAATTAAAAAGACAAATATAGGTGAATAGGATATTTTATTAGCAGTAAGGTAAAAGTTAGAGTAGATCATCAGCTCACGAAAATAATTTATTAGATGTAATTCAAAGTGACGGGCGTCCTTTGACCACTTACACAATATTGAACCGAGTTACCACTATAGATTATGATCACTTTCTTTTCATGAATTTCTTAGCGTAATAATCTTACCAAATTTTCACATTGGTGTACAATAATTTTTGAAAAGATGTTGCAGTGACAATTCAAGAATACAATTTTATAGAATGATAGAATTAATCATCACCAACGTGAATGAACAGAAAATACACTTGCTCTCATTAGTAGTTTATATCTCACTGAGCCACACGAAGATCAAAGTACCTGGTCAGTGATCACGGAAAATGATTACTGAGCAAAAACACAATTCAGTCATAAACGCGAAAATCTGCCACAACTATGCATCATTCTGAGTTTTCACACTATATAATCAAACCATAAGGGAATTATGAAGATGAATATCATAGTAAAATTAATAGTAGTATCAGTGATAGTAAAAAGAGAAGACCCAGAAATGCGAATTTATCTAGTAAAAATTATTGCATAATTCTGCGACTCAGGATGAATCTGGGCCACATTTCAGCGATTCTGAACCATGTCACACAATGTATCAAGATATTGAAAGTCCCATAGACCTCATAAACGTATTGTAAATCGAGTAACATGACTCAGATGAATAGTCTATGACTTCAACGACTGTCAGTCAAATCTGAAGAACCTATGACATGTGTACATTGGTTCAAGTTGTTAGACTTAATTAGCACAGCAAGATGAAATTGTCAGGACAAATCTCAGAGTAGTAGAGGCAATAACAGTATTAGTGGTAATCGAAAAGACTATGCATCCAAGATACGAATCGACTAAATTTAAATTAGTAAAATAGATTTCAAAATTTTACGGGAAAGACAAGGAGTGAATGCAACTGCAATATTGCGTACGATTCCGAGTCATGTCATTACGATAATCATGCGATCCACAATTATGTAGTTGGTATCCAGCTACAAGGATCTGTGTCCAAGAAACAGTAACTTTGTGTGTTGGTTTGGCTACCTATAGCTTTCTTCCAACCTATTACTACAATAGCCGTCATCGCAGGTCGAGGTAGTTGGTGTATGGGTCCACGTAATACAGGTTTTAGCCATCTCAGTCAATAAAGATTCCCTACCTTGTCAATGGATTTGTAATCATTACGTGGTACTCTGTGTCTGACCTCGAAATCAATCAAGAGATTCGATCGTAAAAGTAAATACGTACTCTTTGTAAAATATTTATACACAATAATTATAAGAAATGAGAAAACTGTGTTTGATTTACAGATAAACTAAAAAGACTGACAATACAAATTTAGGCTTAAATATTGTTTGTTTAAATCTGAAAAACAAACATTCGCATTTATTTTCAACATATACTATTTGTCAAGATGAAGAGAAAGTCAGAATATATAAACATGTTTTTTTCCTTTTCAGCATTCACTTGAATAAGATTAATTCAATGACCACCACCATGGTATGAGAATAGGATTGGCTAATAAGAAAATGCAAATATTGTAGTCAGAGATCAACGACTAACTAAATTCTATGTATTATTTTCTGCAACACACACAGAAAACGAGTAAAATATTCATTGAGATGGTACTGTAGTGAACGAAAACACATGTGTGGGCAACTAAATGTTTGAACATAAAATTACCGAAAGTCTCAGTAAAATCTGAGAACTATACAGTAAGTACTTCATTTGAAAAATGTCCATTAATTGTCTTAGACTTGACTGTCCAGATCAATTACTTTCCGTTCTCGTTCTCTCCTCTTCGATCTTCTCAACCCTCTGCCTCCAGAAATTCCACTTTCGATTAGTGATACATACTACTTATATCCAATGATATCAGTAGCACAGAAATTTCAAAAACTTGGTCTCAATAATTGGAATTAGTGATTGAAAAATTCTCATATCAGTCAACTACCCATTAAGACTCTCTTAATGGGTTTTGTAAACGTTTGAAGAAAACAGTCCTATCCTCAGTATCAACGATTTATTTAACTGTAATCAACTATGTTCAAACTTTTTGTTTAAAAAACCCAATCATATATACGTAGAAACATAGAGACATGTAACAGCATATAAACGTTTATGTAATGAGAGTCGTCAAAAAACTTTAATAGTTTCAATAACATCATTTACCTCATTCATTGCATTAGCTAATTCTTCTTTAGATATATTATATTTTTCACAAATAATTTGTTGTGTTTGTTCTAATAGTTCATCTTGAAAGAAAAGAATTGTTTAATAAAACAAAATAAAAAAGAAATTAATTAATTAATGAACTTAAAAATAATTGAATCATGGATGATAACTATAATTTCATTTATTAATAAGATGACAAATTAGTCAATTTGAAACACAATAAGATAATTTAATGATGAAGGATGACAGTGAATCAATGAATTTCTATTCAAAGTTCAAGTTTGATCACATTTATGACCACTGATCTTTTATTATTTTTTTGGAAGAAAATAAATCAAATTTGTTTGAAAACAGGATAAGAAGAATGACAACGATGACAATGATAACTGAATTTGTTCATGTTATATATTTGACATTTTCTTATCTTGTTAGTTAAAGTAGTCAATCAATCAACCAATCATTGTGATTATGACATATATTATAATTAAATCAAGGAAGAAAGCATAGTTTATATGCATGTATAATGTGGAGATAGTTAAATTTATTGTAAAACTTATACTTTTTCTAAACACTAGTTGGTATCAATCTAAGAATATGACAGAAAGACATGGGAATAATAACAACCTCGTTATATGGAGATTTTCAGTGATTTGAAGATAGTTTTAATCCAGAACTGTTAGAGAACTATATCTGAATACATACATAAACTAAGAGTATATACACAATAAAAATGGAATATCACTAGAATTTTGAAGAGGATAATTTTACATTATGTTCACCATGAAACGTCACTGATCACCCTACTCTACGTCCACTATATATCTATCTGTTTATTTATGTTGCTAAGTTTTATTTTCGCATATTAAAAGCATTTTGATTTTAACTTATTTACAGTGTTGTTATTCGATAAAATTGTAATTTTATGTGTCTGTACCCAATCTGAATTACATGCCAATTTGACCATAATTCATCATATTTATAAGTTCATATCGATTACTATGCGCCTTTCCATCGGTGGTTAGTAACACAAACATGAATGGTGATGGTGATGATAGTTTAAAATTATTGTTACAATTAAAACTGAAATAAATAAACAAAACTGGTCTACGTCATTGATGGTTATCGTAATGATGATAATTAATTATAAATGTAAATAATAAATGTTAAAAGATTAAATGTCTTCATTCTATTACAGATACAAACACACACATATAGCAATACATATTACTAGTTGACAAGAATCGATCGTAAAATCCTTTATAAATACATTTATAATCGAATTTGGCAAGTTTGTGAGTGTCAAAATAAGAATTTCATGTAGTAACTACGTGTAAAACATGATAATTCAAAAGCTACTCGGTGTTGGTCAGGATATTTTGAGATTTGACAACAAGCAGAGATAACGATCAAAGTCAGAAGAAATAAATCCTTCGATCAATCTAACCAGCGTACATGAGCAAAAGTTGTTTATTTTCCGAATTCGTTAGGAGTAGGAACTCCAATATCAGTGTATCAATACAAATGTGACTCGATAAATACATTAATGTAACATGGGTTGCTTTTTTATTATAAAGAATATACTACATTTCTAATCGACATAACTAATTAAGAACACATCTTTCATTATATGATTAGCTATGAAATCAATATCGAACAGTTTTCATTGCAGATTTATACGGTAATCACTTCGATAAAAAAAATTACCATTTCTTATAGTGCATAGAGTGAAGTGTATATTAAATAGGAATGGATTCCTCTCTATCTTTCATTTCAAAACAACTTTTACCTATTCATCCCTTTATTAATTCTCTTCTATTTCAAATTATCAGTTTGGATCGGTTCATATTACGTTTTATTTACATTAAATAAAATAACCAGATTCCAATTCTATAAATAATTAGTACATGAGTTTTATGCTAATGAATCATTTAACTATACTTTAGAACTAGGTCAGATAAGCATAAATTATTTGTTTATAAGGTACATTTATGTGCATGACATAAAATACTACTGAAATAACCTTTAAAACGCATACCTATAACGTATTCACAACTTCAAATAATAATCGATAGAATTCAATTAGTAAGCAGTAATTTTATTTAGCCCTCGTTAGATAATAAGTGTCATGAATAAATGCTTCATAAAATAGGAGATGAAGAGAGACAACTATTAATTTAGAGTAATATTGAACCAGCAATGAAAACTGACTTAATGAGTTGATCTTATCCATAACACAAATGATCAGAGACATCACATTTCAGTAATCCCTATTCTATGGGAATAAATGTTATAATTCCGTAATGCAATTTTGAATAGAATAAAATTAAGTTCTAAATGGGAAGAGAGTGAATGTTAATAGTGCATACATATAATCATACACAGGAGAATCAAACTGAGGATCTTGACCTCTCGAATTAACTTCAAACTAATCAGTCGCAGTTCTGCAGCACACATTTTAATCTTTATTCATTAGTGAAACATATACATATATCATAAAATATCACTGGTAGAATTTATTTCGCTCTTGAGACAAATGAAACTGACCAACCAAAACCTTTTACTATAAAGTAATACACAGGACGAAGAGTATGAATAATGAAATTACCAAGAAAAAATAGACAAAATGATAAAACGTTGAGGAAATCGTTTACTAGATCTTGCCTCACACTTCATTAAACTGGAATTTCAATAACTTTTGTTTAGTGTATGGAAAACATGTCTAGAAAGAGTATGATTGAATACTATAAATGACCTCAGTCAATCTCCACTAACCAAATATGAGAAAAGTATTAATTATTCATAATCTACATAATTTTATATGCATATTGAAGTCATGTTCGGTGAAGATCTAACTAAAAACAATATTGCTCGTTTATATTAATTGACTCAACTAATGCGTAAATAGGAAATTCTTAGTATTATATAAAGATTATCATGGTGAAGAAGTGAACTTTAGTAATATGTGTAACAATAATAATAATAGTAATAATAATAACAGTGAAGGTACTAAGTTTTATTAAATCATACTTATAAAACTCAATTATAATGATACAATTATGTCGAATATTTATAATTTTAAAAACACTTTCATTAAGATTATCATTGTGACTATTTTACAGAATCATATTTTGATTATTGTAAATTATTACTTTCACACATGAAAGCATATCACAATAACCACATGGTTAAAATGTTTTTCACATCACTATTTACAGTAAATAAATATGCGTGCAACTGTATTATTTAAAACAAAGGAAATGATTATTTTTATGTTTTCTTAAACAACTTGATTAATGTATAAAAACCAACTGATCCACAATATATATTGCGTAACTTTATAGTTAACCATCCTCATTTCTACTAATTATCATCAAAGTGAAGTGAAGAAATAAACCGAAACTAACAATGAACAACAAAACCGAATTCGTCGTCATCGGCGTCATTATTACTATTAGTTTTTTAGTTTCTGTTAATAATTTACTTAATGAGAACTATTATTTTGTAAAAGTAACAGGCAGAGATTGTTAGTAAGAAAAGAAATTAAAGTGAGAAAGTATTGTGTACATTTACATAAATATATAAATGGATATAAACATAGACATTGGGTGAATAGGACATAAACATGTGTTTATATTCGATTAGAGTATTAACAATAGTTAATTTTATTTCATCACATTAAAAAAATAATAACAAAGATTTTAAAATAAACAAAACTATTTACTTTGATGAAATATGTATCGCTCTAATTATAATGTGAATAAATGAAAGGAACAAGTGAAACCTAACAAGTTTAACTTTGTTTTAATTAAGAAAAAATCAATAATTCGTGTTTAGTTGACCAGTTAGTAGGAAATTACTAATACTGTAGATTGTTGTTTTTCAGTTTCGAACTAGTTCAACTTATAAACTGGGTCCGAATACTGCTCTATCTACATAGATAGATAATATTACTTTATCGTACATAAAAAATGTGACTGTTTCTTCGAAATGATTGTTGAATTGTACATCACAATCAATTCCGAGTCACTTACTGTCTATTCAATATCGTGAAAGTTATAACATAGCATGTTTATGGATAATTCATTTGTGATGTAGTAGGGTTTATTCTACAGATAACATTTCTTGTAAGAAACTGTTTCGCTAATCTTAATATTAAATGGGATACTGAAGTGTTGGAGTTGCTGTGACCTCTGAGCTGGATGAACTGGCTATGAAGCTTCCATTGTTCTTATGAGCTATAAATATACTTTATCATCTTAGAAAGGGATACTGAAATCTTAAAATTTATATTGACTATAATCATTAGGAATCTTTTAAGGTGTTTTCCCATTTTTAATCGTCCAGTCAATTCTATCCTATTGAAACATAAAATTGAAATTAAGTAGTATGCCAGAAAAAAGTTAATGTGCTTCTATTACATCTGAGCATATTCAGAAAAAGTCACTGGAATAGTGAAATACTAGTTAGCTACAAATTCTGTTGAAAGTCAATTGATCCGAAGATATTTTTAAAATACTGTGATTAGTGTTATATACAAGAACATCGATGCTCTAGTGAGAGGTTATGAACTGTGAGATGCATCAGAATTATATTATCCTTAAAAAATTGGCAATGCTGAAAATAGGTAGCAACTGAGCTTTCGAAAAATAAACTGCAAATGATGTAAGGTAGTATCTCGTTTATTTATGACACAGTTAAACATCTATCTGTAAGAGAAAATCTGGATGATGAGTATGAAGTATTTGAGATATACTTCATTAATAAATGAATACTGAAAAATGCAATATTGTCTAGACCCCCGGTGCTACTGTTATATTCACACATTACCCAGATCTTAAAGTACAGTGATACTTACTATTAGTTTTGTTATATCCTAGTGAAGATTAAATTATGGGTAACTTCTGAGAACTATTAATGGACTAATATTATAAATATTCTTATTGTATAACTACTTAGTAATCAGACCATGTATGAATATATTCCTCTTATTATACGCTTCATTTTGACTTATAGATTATTATACAATTTACTATTTTTAAATTATACTCAGTTTATTAGTCATAGTCTCTCACGTTCACAGACACGTTTTGGCTTGACCTTGTATAAATGTTACTTCCTATTTTATGGTGTGATGAGGTCCGTTTGGTTGGAATATAAACCAAGTATGTTTGAAATAAATGATTCACATAGTGGGAGCTGTTATTGATGTTCTGAACTCAACTGGAAGGGCTAGGTGAACGAAGGACCAATGAAGGCGCTAGGCTGTTCATACCGGTCGGGCGTCATTGGTTTGGCACAGTCCTAAGATTGAATAAGTCGTATTTCGATTGGCGAATAAATCACGTGATAGTTAGCCGGGCTGAAGGTCACAATAAGTTTCCTATTAATTTAGCTTGAACAGTATATGTAAAGACGAAAATATGATGAATTCATCATATTCTGCAAACATGCTTTTTCTTGTCTCACTTAATTTCACAAAGGGAACAAAGTACACAAAACTTAAACCTGATGTGTGTGAAGGCTGATGATATCCTAACTGAAGTGGGTAGCTAAACTGTAATCCAGTGACAGAAATTCAAGTACTTTAACTATCAATTAAAACGCTACGGTAAAATACGCATATTTGGTATAAATTTAGGTAGTGTTAACCATTATATATATATATATATATATATATATATATATATATATAAACGTTGTTAAACTAGTATATATTCAAACAAATGTATATTAATGCATAAATTAACTATGTTAAATTATATATCTTAGTATTGATAATACAGTTATCTAACTGTTTAACTAAACATTGTGAACAAATCTATGCAACTAATTTCACTAATAATAACCAGATAAATCGATTAACGAATAAACTAAAACGGAAATAATAATCCAAATTAAAAAAATCACCAGCTAACTGTGTAAACGTTTTAATGTATGCTGATAAACTAATGAAGTTTTAAGATTTTTTTGGTGCAATTATTTGTAAAGACTGAGTTGGATGGTATTAATAATGATAATATTTTGAATTATTGTAATTATATTATAACTATTATTATCAGTTTACTTACACTAATTAAGAATTCATCCTACAAACGATGAAAATGGTGGAAAAACAAGAGGTTGTTGACTGTTTAAAAATGTAGAATACCACTAACTAGTGATGTAATAAACTGGGATATCAAACAGATAGAATATTTAGATCAACAAATCGAAAGTAGAACGGAAAACTTTAGTCACTTCAAGTAGTCTGTATCATTAAGCGAATTTAACGAAAGATGTATTTTTTCAAAAGCACTCTTATCCCAATGTTAATGTTTAGGTGTTTGTTGTAACACTACATACCATTTCCTGTATTTGATACACTTTTGTATTCGCTTTTCATTTTAAAATGATACTACTGTTTACTACTTACACTTATTAGCTTATAATTTCAATCGAAATCATCTTATGTAAAAAGTAATCATCCACATTTTTTTAAAAATCAACTTTTACTGAATTACTGTTTGTCTAGTATACGTTGATCGTTTCTGATTTATTCTTTTAACATAAGAAAAATTTATTTAGTTGATGTGGATCAAAATCATGAGACGTAAACTAAGTAAATACTATTCTTTTCCTAAAAAACCCCACTTATTAAGTTTGATAAAATGATGAAGTTTCAGTGGTTGGTGAGCTATGAAACAGTTACTCACCCATGGCATTAAATACTGACCGTGTTACAGATCACTAATTAGACGGTGTTTTTAGAGTATAAAGTCAATCGTTTATTTCTATGTAGAAGGGTGAATACGCTCTGTTGAAGAGTTTAAAGTAACGAACGAAATAGGTGTGCAGTGCTTCTTGATTTTAGGTGGAGTTTTGTTCTCTGAGATGGATGGTTTGGTTGTGAGACTTTCATTATTCTTCTGGACAACATCATCAGCACAAACTTCAAGTAAAAGTGGCGTTTGAATTTCTCCACATATGACTCACAGCTTTTTCTATAGACCTCGATCTTGATTTTTAATGATCTAGCTGATATCAGCCCGTAATGGAGAATGTTTTAAAAAATAATTCATTTCACTCTGTAGACAAGACATTAGTTCGTCTTGGTTAGTTTGTGTGATGGAACCAAGTGTGTGAAACAATATCAACACATAAAATATTCAAGGGCTTTTTAAAAAAAATCAAACACCAGTTGACAGATTGCAACAATCATTAAGTACTGCCAGTTTTTGAGAGTAGCAGAGTACCTAGTTAAAAGTTTTTATGGCATGATTTCCCAAAATTTATTTATCTATTCTTTTATTTTACAAGCAGTTATTTAACTTATTGTAGCCGAGTAGTATGGCTCAAAACAAGCGTGGTATTAACCTGTTTAGTCAAAACGAAATATGTACTAACTAATCTACGGAACCCATAAATTCAAAATGTTATTCTAACATATTTAATCATAGACAGGTGAAAAAAGAAAGTTACTGTAGCTTCGTACAACGTGGAGTGTGTTGCACGATATTGAAAAAGAGAAATATGCAAAGAATTCATTTAGTAAACAAAGAAATCTTAAAATATTTCCAGTAAACGGAGAAAAACGTTGTTTTAGATAATCATCAAAGCGCCAAGAACTGAAGTTTCAAATTAACTTTCTTAGTGTTACGTTAATTACTTATTTCCAGAGTTTATTATTTCTAGCTAGTATATTCACATATTTCGTGGTAGTTTCCAAAAAGACAACCTAAACAAAAGAACTTCCAGAAATCGAGACGAACTGAATCATTCTGTATGGTAAGGTTAGTCAACGATGATATTGACTAACTTAATTAAGTAAGTAATTGATGGTAAACTTGTATTAAAGACTATTTCATAAAAGGTATCTATGAATTGAAGACAAACGATTAAAAACTAGGATAATCAGTCAATGTTTTAACTTCTTCCCAAATTGAATAAGAATTGTGAGTTGACATAAATCAGATCAAATATAGCGAAAGCTTGAAATCATTAGTTGGTAAATATTAAATATTGATAACATAAGACATTAGCTTTTTCGGGAAGATAAGTTCTTCGTGAAGAAATCAGCTGATTAAAACAGACTTTCGTTGATTTATTGAGTATAAAAGTCAAAGTATTTTGAGGACTCATTTCGAAGATTGAAAAGTAGTGAGATCAATAATACCCACTGGCGTTCAACATTAGAAGTAGTGTATGCTAAGATAGATGTTTAGAGATAAAATTAAATAATTCTTATCTGATTAGTGTTTGATTAATGACTGATTTGAGAATAAAAATACTATACTACTTAGAAATTTATATTTCAAAATCTTAAAAATAAGAAATAAATATAATAGACATTTGGGAAGTAAGTAAAAAAGGAAAACTTACACACGGTTTGATTCCAGTTAATCTTAATTGTTTTTATTAATTTGTCTTATACTTACACAATTAAAACGACTGTAATTGAAAAGCACATGTCTTATTTCATGTAGTCGGTAATCAATAGTTTAGTAAAAAATAACAACATATGTATTCGTTTAAATGAAGATTATTCAATTTCAGAACACATTCATCCTATTGAAATAAGCTTTCATCGTTGAACTCATTTGAAACTTATCTCAATTGTACGAAATATGATACAAAACAGTGTACAGAAAATAACAGGATATGAATCCAGGTTAGCATACAGTACAAGTAAAAAACCAAATAAGTACATACAATACATTAAGTGACCAGTAAGTGGTATCCACTGTCAAGTTTATCCAGTCTTTGGTGCTGACTGAATCCTATTGATCGAATCGCAATATGGCTGCCAGTCTAACAGACTGAACATTGTATACACTGTTTTTAGATGTTATGTAATTGGGAGTAGTCAAAATGAAATTCTGTATAGGTTTCGTCTAAGTCGGAAGTTACTAGCAAGGTGTATCTGGAATCTAGAACTTGTCTAATCTTAAGTGTTGATCTAAATTACCAGAGAGACCATTAAGCCCCGGTACACCTTGAGCAACCTAACATCAAAAGGTCGATATAATACAAGTAGCCATAATAAGAAACTAGAGAAATCCAGAGACGCAGAACAAGAAATGCAACAAATGAATTTAAAACGCTAATAAGTCCAGATAAAATAACGAGTGAATACACCTTTTAAACTATTAAGTAAAACAGAAAACTTATCTACAACTTTACAGGGCTCAAAGTAAATTTGGATAGTGCTGCAGATTAAATTTGCTGTTGTTCCTCTGAGAAACTAACTGGTCACATATTATGATATACTGCTGAAAGGTGTGATGAGGTATGTATAAAAACCGCTGCAGTAATCTTAGTTCAAGTTTATAACCTGATCGAATAGTATGGTGTCATTGTTTAAAACCGAAATAAATTGCACAATAGTTTCAACGTACTCGACTAATACTCAGAATCGGAGATGATTTATACATCTAGATATTAGTATGGTGCGTTGACAACAGACAGCTCAAAAGTTACTTCGATATAATATAGATATTAATTAAAACTAATTATTATGATGAATGTTAGTCGAATTCTCTTTTTATAAAATAAATAAACTTACTCATAGCGGTTTGTAATTTATCAACAAATACAGTGGATTCTTCTCCGGAAGGAATTTGATCAGTGTTGTTAATATCTGATGGGTAGGTAGTTTTATCATTATTTGTAGTAGTTGATGATGTAGTAAGAAGTTTACCGAATGAAGTTTTTAAATCTTGGGTTGATGGTTGAGGAGTAATAACTGAAATGTCATCAGCTGTAGGTGTAATACATGAGGTTTTAGAAATGAGCGATTCAGAAGTTATACCGATTGTCGACCGACTTTGAGTAGATGACGATGGTGATGAAGAGGCGGCAGCGGCGGAAGCAGTTGGTTTCAACATACGTTGTCGATCAATACTTTGTGTAGTCACACTATTTTCTTGAATATAAGCTGACCAACTGATAATGTTTTGATAGATAAAGCACAAAAACATATGGCACATATAAATATTTTTATTAGGAAAGACAACTTCAAAACTTTCTCACTAACAGGATTAGTAATAATACATAAACAAGAAAAACTAGATGTTAATAAACACGCTAGATTTTAAGTGTAATGGAATCCAGGACAATCATTTTGTCCTACTAGGGACTCCATCAGTTGAGCGCACGTGTATCCCAGTTTTGGTTTTTATCGGAATAGAGAAAGTATTAAACAGTTTTCGCAGATTTATTCAGAAAAACGTTTACGATCGGCATTCGGTACATCTTGGTACTCTTGAAATAGAAAAAAATATTAGTAAAATGTTGTGGAAAATAGTATTCCTAATAAAACGCGAACACAAACTACGTAGTGCTACCATCAGTCACTGATAATACGATTACTGAACTGTTCTCAATTAGACTTTTACCAAATCTGATATCGCGTTACCCTGTAGTGATCAATTGATAAAATAGTGGTAATGATAGCCAGTAACCTTAATAAATTCGAAGTAGTATATTCGTCCACAAATTTTACACAAAACAATAATGGTCAAGCTATTCAGTTTAGAATTTTAGAATATCTACAAAAACCTCTCTAAATATTATTCAGTATGTATAGACAGTAAACAAATTGATATCAATAAATAAGAGATGGGTATTAAAGATGTTTCAAATTTTATCATTTGCAAGTATCGATTGAACTAAATTAAAACAAAAGTAACAACATAAAAAGCAACAACGAACTTTTGTCTTTCATCTTCTTTTGAAAACAATAACCGGATCAAAACTGTTTGCTTCATAAATACGATATTTAATAGATGATCACCACCTATATGTTTGTATGCAGTGAGAAAAAAAGAATAAATTAATCGCTTTTACATTTAGTAATGAGTAGTATAAAACACCAGACAGGTGAACTATGTACATTATAAAATTTCAACTGAAATATTAACTATTTCAGGACTTTATATAATTAGAGTCTGTGAGAGTTAAGCAATGATAGATAATAATTAGCGAAGTGAGATGTATTTCTAAAGACTTTAAAATATATTATCATGTTGTAATCAATTACAAAACATTGTTTCTTAAAGATTACAAACTGTAAATCATTTTCACTACAGACGTTATTAAACGAATTTTGGAATGTATGTTGATTCCACACACCATAATGATTATATATATATATATATATATATATATATATATATATATATATATATATCGAGAGAGAGACAGAGAGAGAGAGATGTACTGGTGTTTACTAACCACTGCGAATCCGTGACAAAATTGAAATACACTAGTTAACCAGTTAGAGAATGACTTAAAATTTAAAACAATTATCAGTTGTAATTTAGAGAACCGCCATTATTATTATTATTATTATTATTATTATTATTATTATTATCTAATGTCCATAAGTCACTTTTTAATTAATCTATTCAGTTTTTTTTTCAATCACCAAAATCACATTGGAAGCAAGCTAACGTTTTCGTTATTTAGAAGGCGCTCAAAGGGTTTGACGTATTTTTGTTAACTGATAGAAATCTATTTTTAAAAAAACAACTAAAAACTTCTGAAGATATTTCTTTTAAATGTCCATTTCGAAATGACTTAATCATATTTAGTTTGGTTAGGAGATACTCACGGTATTTTTACACGGACAGCTTATTATTCACATACTGAAAAGTAAACACTGAGTAGTTGTTTTCCTTACTACTATGATAACTACTACTAGTAATATTGATAATAATAATAATAATAATAATAATAAAGTTGTTTCTAAGCTACTTATTTTTAAAATAAAAAAGGTTAAAACTATTTGGTTGGTGCCTAAATAATAATATTATGGAAGCGTATACCCTAGTCCTGTAAAATAAAAAATTCACTGAAATCCACTGTCTAGAAGTTGAACATTTTAAGGTCAGTAGTGAATTTAAAATAAAATTAGGGAAGTAGTATTTTCAGTTCTAAATATATGTTACATGAGTATCTATTGAACAAATGTGACTTTAATGTTTATTACAATTGTTTTCATAATGAGAATAACAATGTTATTTTGAAAGTGACTTTTAGTGTTCAGCTTTACGAATTGTCTTAAACTGTTCTATATGAGGTAAACAATATCAATCCAATTCACAAGCAAACAAACACTAAATAATCAGTTAATAAACAAAGAAGAAATTTAAGAAAACTAAAAACATACACAAATGAACTAAATCAATTGACAAACTAACCGAATTTTTCACCACACGAAGTAAACACATCTATTAATGGGAATATAGGAACAAGTTTCGAGCTTCCCAACGATGTTGACGAACGATCAGTCATACTGGCGACTGCAGCACTAGCTGCTGCTGAAACAAGGCTTGTATGTGATTGAGCATTTGAATTAGGCGAATAAGAACTAAGAGAACTGCATGAAGAGATAGAAGAATAACCGGATAGATTGCCTGAGTTGGGTCGATCTTTTTCACCAGGTGTACCAGGCGATCCGAAACTGGAAAGACGTTCAACAGCACTACTATTAGAAGCAGAAGTACTGAAGTTCCCGCTACTACCAGAGCCACCGCCTTGTTCACGTACAGCTTTAAAACTACGTAAAATGTAACGTTCACCATCCTTCACCATTAACATAAGTGCATTGTGCAAGAGAATAGCCAACATTTCAGTTCGTTCACAAATATAATCATGATTTACTTTATTTGATCGATTCGCTGTTAATTTATCAACTGTTACTTCGGCATGTGCAACAACCCAATGATGAAATAATACACGAGGAAAGTTTAAAAGTAAATGCTATAAAGTAATGTAATGAAGAGAGAAAATTTAATATAAAGCTAAATTAGGAAACAAATAAGAACAAATTTTGTTAATGAAACACAGTTTAAAACATTTAATTGATTGATAATTGTAATATGATTTTAACTAATAATATTCAATTTTATTAGTGAAATACTATTTGTACGATGATATGACACAAATAACAGGAACTAGTAAACTTTTTCTTCAACTCATTAATATTTTGTACATTATGATAAATCACTGAGATTTGAAACGATATTTATTAACGAATCTGGTTAGTTCCAGGTTGATTTGTAAAACTTTGAACGTTTACTTTTAAGCATGACGGCTTTTATGTGCACTAAATGGTTTTTTCAAACACGTTTTTTTTATAATCCTACAAGAGAGAAAGGGAGACATTGTTACTAATCTCTGTTGCACATTTTCAATATTTCGATGATGCTTTTACAGAATTATATTTATTCAATAGAAAGATTTTTGTTGTGATTTTAGTTTCCCGGTTATTCAGTAATTATAGATACAATAGGAGTTATTCTCAAGTAGAGAGCGTACGTTCTTTCAAAGTGAAGAACCACTGTACAAATTTAGTTAGCCGATTAATAATATGAAATCGAACAAAGTTATTTTCTATTTCTATCTATTTTTATCTGGATCCGAAGCAATAAAACCATAATTACGAACTAGAATTAATAATAACTCAATCTTTAAACTGTATAGTTCCATTATGATTTAAATGTTAACTAATGTAATGGTAAGAAGTTGAATATAGTTTTGCGATAGTTTAACCGTAACGTACAATGTTTAACGAAACATCGATCTACGAAAACTTATAGTGTTTATTCCCTTTCAACAACCTGTGATATCACTAAATTTAAAAAAAAGATTACAAATAGTTGAGTTAACGGAAAATAAACATCATTTCCAGTAAGAATAAGGAAAAAAAACTGAACATTCACCTGAAATGGTAATAATAAATCCGGAAGTGGTTTAGACAAAATATCTTTTTTATCCAAACTAGTACATAATTGACCAAGATTAATTCGTTTAACAAGAGGCATACAAACATTATCGATAGTTTGTGGTAAACTGGCCAATTTAAGTTGAATTTGTTGCCAAATTTTAGCTTCACCTGGAAAAAAAAACGTTTTTTTTTAAAAAAAAACAGTAGATTTAAATGGAGTGAAGTAAAATGAAGTACAAAATGTGACGAAAAGTATTTGTTAGGACACAGACCAAACAAAGTACATTAGGACTAGAATAATGCATAAAAGATCTAAAAAAGATTCAGTCTGGAAATTGGTAATTGATTTTATATGTTGCGTAATATCGGCTGAAGCAGCTATTGTAAAGCGAATTACTGGTTGAAGAAATTTTCTTTCAGTCAGTAGGTTAGATGGTTGAACCACGCTTAATTCGCTATAGACTGTATAGCACACGGATTATCACTATCCATCACAATAATAGTGCAAATTAAAGCTGAGTACATGAGATTTGTACTTGATAATTGAGTTATTTTATTACAATGTTATAAATGATGATCCCCAAACGCTCTGGTACTGTCAAAGGTGGCAAGAATCAGAGCTCCGAATGTAAATGCTCTCACATGATCATTCATATACAACAACTGTTAGGGAAGTCCTAATCACTGCCTTCTCGTGGTGGGGGTGCAGTTTACGAAATTCGAAGGACAAAAAGCGAATTTCCGGCGTTTTAACAAGGTTGGTGGATATGGAGGATCCATCTAAGGGAGTTGGAAAACTCTGATTTCAAATCAATGGTGCACATGGGCTCCAGGATAGTGAGGGAGAAAATGGCGTATGAATCCAATGTTGATCACCAGCTACCGTAGGATAACATCTCCCAACGTTGCTCCACTGCTCTCTGGATTAGGCCTCTAGGTCAAAGGCTCGATGAGTAATCCTCTAAAAAAACCTTGCTTCGATTTGGGTGCTCGGGCAACATTCCAGCCCTCACACAAATCGAATGATGAGTTGTAGCGCACATATATTTAGTGTTTATGTATTAAAATGAAAAATAAATGTTAGGATTTGTTTAGCGAATATTTCACAAAGCCAAATACAGTAATTTATGTCGAAAACAGCAAAACTATAAACAACACTAGCAAGATAGATAATTTCGTTACAATCGTCATAATGTAAAGATACAATAATTTACCAGATAGAAAATGTAAGAACAACTTCATCATCAACAGTTAATTCATTTAACCACATGAAACTAGCACAGACATAACAACAGAAAATCTAATAGTAAAAAATAATGTCAATTACCTTTGTATATTTTAGTTCTTTTTTCCAAATCTTTTGCAATATTATTTGCAATTAATGGTAAATTAAAGTAAAGAATTCGCATTTGTTTTAAACCTTCAATTAAGACAAATTTATTATGCCTAGTTTGTAATAGAGGTACAATATCTGGATGTCGGCGTACATAATCACGAACAGAATGTCGAACACTTTCTAACATATTTGAACATGAAAGGGCTTGACAATAACGAGCCCATGTCTGTGAAGATGAAAAGTATGAAAACCTTTACATTACAAACAATAACATGAATAAAAATAATAATAATAATAATCACGTTATTTAGTGCCATAACTTTTGATACAGTAGGGAATTCCGAGTACAAAATATCAAATACTGTGGTGAATTCTCTTGAACCTATAAATTATTTGTAACGACTTCGAAAAATACTATTGAATATTGTTTTAAGAAGGGTGATTAGCGGTAATGGATTCTGAAGAAATTCAAGTCATTTATGATTAACATCATGCACTGATCTTAGACAATCAATGAAGACCAGGAAGCACTGAACAACTGTTTCATCCTAGTAAAAGACTTCTCAACAGTGTACATCCACGATTCTACCGGGGATTAAACCTAGGATCCTCGTTCACATAGTGAGTCCTTAATCTCTAAACAGCCGGAACCTATTGATTTGTATGTTTAAATTCAATCAATTGGCAGTAATGAGAAATCGTCTTTCAATGCCATCAATGGGTAACTGCTTTACGCAAGTTACAACTCACTATAACTCCAAGAATTACTTTTCCAAATTAAGCTTTTCGTGAGCGCATGCTAATTATCAATATAAAAGGTTTGTTAAGATTGTTATATCCTTGATGGAATCATAATTGGGCACTGCTGAGGAGTCTCATGACGGGACGATACAACGGTCCAGTGCATCCTGGTTTTAATCACTTGTTTGACGAAACTATAATTCATGGACGAGCCAATCAGAAGCGAGTAAGTGATTCCAAGGTCATGGTGCCCATCTCAATGCCCAATGCTCACTTGCTATCGGTTTACAGAGGATTTCAAGGAAAACGTAATAGTTGAGAAACTACAACAGATTGGACTAACGAGAACTTCCTTCAATAGAGATTGTGATCTTCGAATGACTTCTGGACAGTGTGTAGGCTATTCTTACGACGTTGCATTTCGATGTAATATATGTTGGAGGGAAACGTCTAGTAGAACGGGGACTTTTTCCGCTCGACCCCGATTGACACTAAGACAGATTATGATAATTGTTGTAAAATAGATAATAAAAGCACCATTAACACTGGCTACAACCTTTGCAGACGTTACTGAGGCTCCAGCAGTTCAGTGGTATGAGTACAAAACCTCTTTCTAACATTGGAAAGTTTTTAAACCATGTTAAAGAAGTGTATCCACTCTAATTTTTTAGTTTTGTATAATATATTCTTACTCCATACCGACTTTTCTCTGATTGGCTGAAATCCCTCAAGGTCACTTAAGATTCGTTCAAAGGTCAATCATAAATTACGGTCATGCCATTACTGAGTGGGGGATTCAGTGAATATTATCGATACAAAATTTAAATACGAAATTAATTTATTCTTCACTTACAGTACTCAGATTTCAAAATCACGCTTTTTTTCTGATAAAATATGTCACATTTACTTTAAACTAACTAAACTAGTTTAGAGAGAAGATAAACTGTGTAGTAGAGTAATATATAAATATATATGGCGAGGGAGAAAGGGATCAAGCCTGGGATCTACAGTGATCGAAAAAAATGGGTACAGAAATCACTTAATGTTCTATAGGTATTTCATTTTATTTCTGCTCGAAGAAAAAAAAGTGGAAATTAGTGAACAGTTGTATAAACTATCAAACGTATTCAAACAACGTGCAGACCACTGGTACATTGTAAATAAGTATTTTCAATGATTTTTTAAAATAGATAATTACAGTAATAATTTTTTTAATTTATAATTTTTATTTACTTTTAAATTAGCCGATGAATTATCAGTTAACCAGGCTAGAACAGCTTCAGCCATACCACGATAACCTTGTTCGGTTTTTGTTTGATCAATACAAGTAACGAGACTACGAAAAAGATCAATTAATATAGGAATTTGATCAAGGCATAAAATTTTAGCCAATTTTGCATGTTCCACAGGCCAACGACGTAATAATAAATACTCGTATTGTTTCAAATGGCGAACCATATATTGAGTTTTTTGATGAAATTCCAATAGAACTAGTGTACGAATATACTCTTCACTTTTTTGACCCTTTTGTTAAAAAAAGAGATCATATTAAAATAAATGAAAAAGAATATGAAAAAAAAACGCGAACAGTCTCTTCGTTCCTCTTGCCAACTTATCATACATAATAAATATTCATATATAACTAATTGAAACAGTTGTTTTTATTTATATATAACTGCGTTATACAATCTAAGCTGATGATAACAAGTAAAAATGATGGTTAGTGTATATCGAAAAAATGAAAATGTCACAAACATTTTAAATTTGTTGCATAATTCTACTATTTCATCTAGATATATTAAATGAAATAAATTTATGTGACATTTTGAGAGTTTCATTTATTTGGATAATTTATGAATGGTGATGAACGGATAACAAATCATGTTAAAGAATGCGACTAGACTAGACATACGTACGTATTATGGACCAAAAATAAAAACAAAAAAGGATAAATAAAATAATTTTGAGAGGAATGTGTAGGAGGCAAATGATAATATTTATAATACGGTTAATTGCTTGCATCTAGTGGTACTGCTAATACAATATCTCGAATTGGAAAAATGTTGTCTTACCGTACTAATGTTATGGTAGTAAATTCAGAAGATGTATATATCTGTCAGGCTTTACATTGCATATCACTGACTAATAACTACACATTACATACCGTACAGTCAGTATGGAAAACCAAGTATAGTTGACGTCTGTCCTATATACAGTGATTAGTATTCACTTCATGGCATATTCTTGAAATGTAAGCTAACTTGCAAAAGCCAATCTCCTCTCTTATCATAACAACACGAGGTTCTTTTTAATGTGTTAGTTGTTTGATCTACCAAGTCAAGTAAGATCTCTATTTATAAAATTAGTACCTTTTTGGTTGTTTTCTGACTCTAAATACAGTCCAAAACGTTGTGGGAAATATATTCTAACGGTATTTAGTTTGAATCTTTGAACCATCTTCAGTTATTTCTTCATATTTGTAAAATATATAAGGCAAATGATGACGGTCCAACCTACCAAGTAAAGATTAATGCACTCGGCTGAATGACATTATATGTGTGAGGGCTTGTGCTACTACGCAGCTGTCAAATATGAAGCAGGTGTAGTGGAACTGAAAGCTGCGGACTACTCAGCTCCTCGAGTAGTTAAGAAAACGAAGGATACTTGAAACCACCTAGCGTATTTATAAATAAAAAATTATAGAAATGTAAATCTAAAATATCCCTGCACTTAATTTCAACTCATTGTACAGAGAATACTGAATTAAAGTCAAGACATTGGACATTGAAAAACAGTGTTTATACATACTTTACTGGGCATTTGAAAATTAGGAAACTGAGCTCGTAGTTCAACTGCTGCTTCAAAACTTGCTCCTGCAATCATTTCTGGATCATCACTCCAATCTGTAGTAACTAATTCACGTACAGTCTCATTGATATTTGAAACAGGACTACTTAATGATGACGAAGATGGTGATGATGTTGTTTCGACTGGACGATCACAAGGAACTGTTGAGCTACTTGGTGTAGGTAGATTTGAGGAAATATTCGAAACGACACTATCACTAAAACATAAAACAAAATCGAGGATTTGAAACAAGTTGATAACTCAATGAAGATAAAACAGTCTTCAAAATACAAACAACGTGAAATGATAAAAAAGCATCCGCCAGTATTAACGCCATCGATTTTTAAAAGTGAACTAGTGACCAAGTGTATTACGGCACTAGTATTCTTAAGACAGAATACCAACAATAGTAAATATAAAAGATGTAATCTGTAAAATACAGCTGTAAATAAGTCTCTTCAATATTCCTAGGCACAAAAAAACTAGATGTAGGCTTGTGCCTTATTGTATACCATTTTCTCAAACAGAATGCCTGTATCAACAGTAAGATAAGTATTTTTATGGTGAAACAACATTTACATTAAAAGGAAACAATAACATAAGTAACTTCAACTCAACAATATAAAGATTTTGATGGCTAAATTATTTAGGTAAGTATTAATTGGGACAAAGACTTCAGCAATATAGTAGTCATAATCACTAACAACGATGAAAACATGTAACTTGACATAATTCATATAATATTATCGAGAGAGCTAATATGTCATCATATATCTTATTGCAACAATTAGTACTGTTTACAGAACTTTGCCAATTCAAATACGTTAGTCGCACCAATGAATCAATATACAGGTTATTTTATTGAATTGATCCATTATAGATCGAAATTGACCCCAGGATTATACATATTTGGCTGTCTACCGATTTGCAACGCTAGGTATTACGGTATTTAAGACTGAAGATAATTTTCTTCACATCTATATTGGTCTTGGGAAACAAAAAAGTCGAAGTATCATTTTTCTTTCATAAGATAGACTGTTAGTTGAGAGGTTGAATAAAAGTTGAACTACTCAACTTTAAACCAGAGGATTGTACACTTGATACATGTTGAATTCTGATTAGGGCAACCAACTTGTATGAATAAATTTCTTTGTCTATAGCACACACACACACATAAAATGTAGATCAAAGCAGTATACTTAAACATCGATTTGGTAAGTCTACTTGTTGGTTAGAAATTCATAATTTTACCCATCTAATTAAACACAACAGAGCCAAGTGGATTTCAGATTTTGATTCACTAATTGAGAGTTAAATAATTAAACAATCAAAATCATACCTTTCTAAAAAAAAAAAATAAACACATTAATCACATGTAATTAAATGATGGAATGAATAAGAGAAAGTTATTATTGATCTATAAATTAGTAAAAAAGCACACCTTCGAGATGTTGGAATTATTTCTTGAATGATTTCACTTCCTTCGTATAGATTTTTCATTTGTTTTACATAACCTTCATTTGTTTAAAAAAGAAAAAAAAATACGGAAAAGAAGAAATAAATATCGAATAGATGAACATAAAACCAAAGGATGAAACAAATCAGACAATAAAGGAATGTATGATAATCAAATAAATAAAAGACAATTTTGTGAGTCATCCAGAAATGTATATGAATGGAATGTGAAACGCAAAAATTGATTTGATGTATATATAATATAAATATATACAGATAAAACATATATTTATTATATTGTAAAATACCAAACAAAGGCAATTAGTATGGACAATCAAAATCATATCAATGATAAACCGAAGATGTATGAATTAGACCTGAAGAGAAAATCTTTGAAAAAAATTTCCCATCCCAATGTTCGATTAAGTTTTCCGTTGCAAAAAAAGTTTCCAAACAAACTAGTACTGAAGATTGACAAAATGCAAAACCTATTCCAAAGTAAGGTTAATAGATAATTAAAAGAAGCCACCCAATACATAAATGGTTCAATTAATAATGATACTGAGGAATTACGCATTGATATATTGTTAAAATGTGCAATTTTACTTAAGCAAATAGGAAATATGTACACCCATGACCTTACTGTGTCCTTCCAAAACTAACTTAATAATTACTAACAAGTAGTTTAACCTCATGAAAATAATTACATTGAGATTATCTCATTTTTAAATTGGTTGTTTGAAACTTCTCATTGATGTCTAGGACTGAAATCGATCAGTCTCTTATTGATAAATGTGTATCCTGTGCGAATTGCCTCAAGTCACTAGAATGATACACGATGACGATGGATAGCAGTGGAATTCAGGTTCCATTCTCAGAGTGAACATCAATTCTGGGATGCAGGTACATACAGCTGATGAGTCTCGAATGGGATGAAACGCGTGTCCTGTATTCTACTGCTAGCCACCATTATAGCTTATATTGAGATTATCGTTAGGATTTGCCTTAATAATTAATACGATCATCTGAATATTGACATGTTCTGTAACAAATAGCAATTTTAATATTAGTATTTCGTGAAAATTTCATCCCAGATTATAAATAAATAACTACTCAGTTACACATAATTAAAAATAAATGGACTTTATTGTACAATGGGATTACCGATGAATTTATTTAAACGTTGTTAATTTACTGAAAGTTTAAACAAAAGGATTATAAACGGTTCATTTATTGATTCTTTGAAACTATAGAAAAGTTGTTAATTTTTGAAAAAGGTAAGTCAAACAATGACAGTAAGGAAAAATAATATTTATTTATGAAGGAAAGATTAATATTTTATCAGTTACGTTGTATTAATATATAAGAAGTATAAATTGACACAATATTTGTAATGAAATCAACTGGATTCACTTCTATCATTTGCTAAGACATGTTTCAAAGGTCAACCATAGTTGAATTAAATCACAATGAATATTTAGAGATGAAAACAGTTTGGCAAAGAATAGAAAGTATGAAAGATGAATAGATAAATGACAATAGTTTCAACTGTCTGATTATTCAGGTTTAAACATAGGGAGAGTAACACAAATTCTTTTATTAAGGGATAAGAGTTTTATATGAGAATTTAGATGTTATGTAACTACTCATTTACCAAGTACAACTTCATATCTCTAACTTTCAGATACAATGTGTCTACAGGAAGGTTATCGATAATACAAATATAACCATTACTGGAAAAGTCTTTAGTTGAAATGAGAATAAGTTTCCTAAAATATTAAACAAACAAACAAGCAAACGAACAAAATCGCATGATTAAAATTTAGTTCTGCATATTTTGTATGTAACTGCACGTCGAAGCTATTAACAGGATTATAGACATTTGTAAAATAGATGTTTAAAAAACACTTGATGGTTATTATTAGTAAATAAAATGAAATTTACGAATCGATTGGTAGAAACAGATCAGTCATAAAGATGAACGGAAATTTGTACAATAAGAAAAGCAGTATATAAAACAATAGAAGCAAAAATAAGTCATTAATAGGAAATCAAAACTATATATATATATATATATATATATATATATATATATATATATATATATATATATATCATTGGTAAACTTCCACAAAACAGCCACCTTGTTTACAACGTTGTACTTGTCGTTACTGTTGCTATCATCATCGTCGTACGTCTTGTCAGTCGGAAAAGTGTTAGTGTGTATGTGTGCAGTTATGTCTTTCTTTTGCACACAAAACAATCACAGATTGACCAAGATCATTGTTTCAGTTACGATTGACATTGTAAGACATAAAACAGATTTATACAGTGTAATAATGAACAAATTCCTTTTTATCCTATACTATAATTCTGTTGATTAACATGGTATTTCAGACAAATTTTCTTTGAAAGCAATTTTCCGAAATGGTTGATTTCAATTATAACCTTATCAATAATATTTTGTTAACTAGAGATAATGAAATTAATTATAATTATGAAGTATGATAATGGATAATGTGAAAAGTATGAAATAATTTTAATAAAAATAATGAATCATAATTCAAATAGTAAATAGTTCCTCTTGTAAATATCTCTCTCAAAATGAGCACATATTCTTGAGTTTTCCTACTTTTAATAAAGTTATTTCGCTATTCTCAAAACATATTTCAACTGTAGGTATATAAATTGAAATAGATAAGAAAAGAGATGATAAGCAAATAAAAAATATAGTGATAATTGATAAGTCTTGTTAATTTGAACGCTTTATTGGGTTCCTATACTGGTAACCCGCAAGCTAGAACTACGCAGCGACCTGAACTCGAGAGAAAAGGCGCAAAATAAGCGAAAAGCACTTTACTCAAAAGGTTCATTTTTGTACAGAAAAACACTGGTATTTATAGATGTTAACATTTCTTGAATCAACATCATATTTTTGGACAATCCGCTAAACGAAATATTATGCTACTGACCAATAGTAGCACGCCACGTTGACATTCTAGAAAGCTCCATCATGCTCTGATTAGCTAGGACTCTTCGGCTCCTTTAGGGCCTCTTGAGGCTTCGTTGTAGTTCTCGGAAAGCCGACTCAACACCTCCCCTGAATAAGATTTCTTTCTAGGATCTACTTGTAGTTGACAACTGGGTTGCGGCGGCGTTCCATCATTCTTGTTGTCTTCCTTGTCCGAGGATTCTTTTCGGTGTCCTAGGGCATATGTAGCATTGGTGTATCTAAGATTAACTCTAACGGAAACTCCTGCCGGTTATTTCGAGTCTGCATCGTCCTTTTGTCCTTATGGATTTGATTTGTATATCGTACACATGTTCTGACTGGCTAGGACTCTTCGGCTCCGTTGCAGTTCTCGGAAAGCCGACTCAACAATAATGAATATATTTTTGTTGTTATAACCCGATGAGTAGTAAAATTGTATTTTTCTGACGTTTCGTGACTTAATGTAAGCCACCTCTTCAAAGTAAATAAATAGCCGAATTAAATTAACACATGTTTAAATCGCATAAAGTAAATAAGACCACAAAAAAATATATTTATTATTAGCTTCCTAGATAATGCTTAACTTATTTGAAACTATCAAATTCAACGTTGGCATTGATACCTACAAATACATGATAACTTGTGAAAATTCAAATGACCAACATCTGTACTATGGAGATGATATGTTCTTTGTATAACGTTGGGTCAACTATCGGCAACTTGTCTAATTATAACTGATGTATTAATTCAGTGTACAGTAATAATCAAAAACCTGTATGCAATCTGGTTCATTAAAATAAACAGCTCGAATAAGGTGTAGCATTCCTTACCTCTAGCTAACAAACATGAAGAAATGAAATGGAGAGAAACTTAATTTAGTCCATAAAAGTTCAACATTTGGATAATTTGACGTAGAATGAATCAAAGTTATATTATAAACAAGACAAATAACAATCAGTGAAATGAACACTGAAGAAAGGAGAACAGAAGGAAGAATTCAATTAGGACAGTCATTAAAGTAATAGCCCATTAATAATTTACTTTTTTATGATAACACATCGAAAATTTAAAACTTATAATAAGTTGATTAATTTCAATATCGTTTGAGGAGAAACAGAGGATAGATAAACTAAAAAAATTAACCTTGTTTAACTGTTATACTTAAGCGACGACGTGATGATGATCTCGAATCCAATAGAACTTTAATATCTTCAGATGAAAATAACACAGTAGAATGATTAATTGCATTTTTTATTATTTGAAAAAAATATTAAAAAACATCACAACAGCCGTTAAACACACAAAAAGGGGGGAAAATTGAGCACACAAATGTTAGATTTGTGAAAGTAAACAGGAATATGGCATGAAGTACACCGAATAAAAAAAATATAAATGATAAAAATAGAAGATAATGAACAATTATGATCGAAATAGCCAACGTTAAATGCAAAAAACAAACAGTTTATGTAAGTATGCACAGATTGATGTGTGTTCGCGTGTACACCAAAAATATCATCAGCAATTCCACAAATATGAATGATTATAAAGCCGTAATTACGTGATAATCATTTTATAATAAAGAATATAACACCACAAACGCAGCAGATAGTAGAGAAAAAATTAGCCAATAATAATGTGAGCGTGTACGAAAACCAGTTCATGAATACCATCGAAACGATATTTTTTGTAGATAGGTACAGAAAGTATACATGTATAAACACGTTTAAATGAAGGTGTGCCCATGTGCAGATTGAAAAGTAAAAAAAACAGTATAAAGAAAAAATTAATTGACTTTATCACATCTCATAGAATAAATGAAATATATATATATATATATATATATATATATATATATATATATATATATATAAAGGTTGTGTATTGGAAGTATATCATTGAAAGGATACTCTTTCAATGTTAAGTATAGACATGATCATCTATGAATTAAAATAAAGAGAATTCAGCGAACAAAATTCTCTTTTCGATGAAATCATTTACTCAAGCTGTACATTAGTATTTATAGTTGTATGGTAAATATATGTTTATAATAAGCTTTTAAAAGGAGAATGCAAAGTTACCAGTTCATAACGGGAGCATCTAAACAACTCTGGATACGTCACTTTGAAAAGGAATTTCCTTTAACATAATCTACACAATCAAAGGAACTGGATCGAACGGAGGTCGAATCAATGGTCCAGCAGGTTAAGCGTTCGCGAGCGAGACCGATAGGCCCTGGGTTCGAATCCCGCGAGCAGGATCGTGAATATAAACTGTTGAGGAGTCCCACAATGGGATGAAACGGCCGTCCAGTGCTTCCAGGTTTCCAACGCTGGTCTAACATCAATCAGTTGCCCCCAAATGCCCTGGTACGGCAGAGAGTGGCGAGAGTCTGCTCTCCCTCTCGAAATACTCTCACATGGCCACGCGTATATAGCCTCTGCCAGGGAAGTCCTACTCACTGCCTTCTCGTGGCGGGGGTGTTGTTTACGAAATTGAGAGGACGAAAAGCCAATGTCCGGCGATTTAACCGGATTCCAAACCAACGGTGAACATGGGCTCCGGTATCCTGAGGGAACAAATGGTGTATGAACCAATTGTTGGTCACCGGCTTCCATGGGACTGCATCTCCCCACGATGCTCCACTGCCTTGTGGGTCAGACCTTGAGGTCGAAGGCTCCGAGTGTGGCCCCCTAAGAAAACCATCTACTTCGGTCTGGACACCCGGGCAATATCACAGTCCTCACACATATCAAATGAGATTTATGTGGCGCATATGTATTTGGTGCCTCTTTGTGCCAATATCTATGTGTTGAAATAAATAAATAATAATAAACGAATCAAAAACTTATGCGCTGCGTTGACGATCAACCAATTTAAGCCCGAACTCTGCGTGCAAAAACGATAAGTCCAACTTCCCATCCTAATTCCTTTCTGTAATGTGTTTTCGTCTTGTTTTTCCTTAAATTAGCATTTTGTAATTTTAAACCGTAATCAGTAATTATTACACTTTAACAATTTTCCATGATTATTATTCAGCTTCCATGTTTCGCATTTTTTCTTCATATCTGTCAAATGGACAATTATATTTCATAATTTTGATCCGTAAATTATTTTCATCCTTCTATTCTTCTTTAAACCTCTGAATATAACGTAACCTCATTTGATATTCAAAGCCTCGAATCACTTTATGATACAACCTTAACTATCCTTTTACAAACATATATTCACCACACAATTGTAAATATGAATGTACAGCTTAAGTAAATGATTTTATTGAAAAGAAAATTTTCTTCGAGGAATTCGATGCCACAATGGGTTATTTTAATTATATTAGCATCAATTCAGTATTGATTCACCCATAGAACGCTAATAATTTGAGAGATGGATGAAAACAAATGTGTAAATTTATTTATTTATTTTTCACGAGAATGAATGTGCTCAATATTATAAAAAAATACAGATTAATTTTTGTCAAACTTTTGTTCAGTGTTGAACCTGTCTTTGTTATTTTTCTCTAGGATTCAGGACCCTTGAAAAGCATACACAACTACGCATTATACTGTTTGTCATGCACTTAACTGGCTGGATGGATGTAGTCAAATGTTATCCATTGACTGAGCCCCCTAGAGCCGTGGTACAGCCGAGGGTGGGGAAATTTAGCTCTCCCTCTCGAAATGCTCTCACATGGCCACGCGTATACAGCCACTACCACAAAAGTCCGCCTTCCTGCAGCGGTGTGGTTTAAGAAATTTAGAGGATCAAAAACGAATGTTCGGAGCTTTAACCAGAATGGTGGATATGGAGAATCCATCTAAGGGAGTTGGAAAACCCTGATTCCAAACCGATGGTGCACATGGACTCCAGGATACTGAGGGAATAAACGGCGTATGTATCAATTATTGGTCATCGGATACCATGGGACTGCATCTCCTAACGTTGCTCCACTGCCTTTTGGATCAGACCTTAAGGTCAGAGGCTTCTGGTGTGACCCCAAAGAAAATCATCTGATTCGATCTGGGCACCTGGGCAGCATCACAACCCACAAACAAATCAAGTGACTTGTGTGGCGGATGTGTATTCAGTGCCCCTTTGTACCAATATTTATGTGTTCAAATAAATAAATTGATTAGACACTACAAGGAGTAATATTTCATGAGAAAAAACTGTTAGGGTTATCTTTCAAATTGTGAATTATTACCACTTATTTTAAAAACTGACTTTATCGTTCAGACTAAATAATCATTAGTAAAAAAATTTATGAACAAATTATTATTCATTATGATTTCGTTTTTGCTTGAACTACTGTCATATCTCCCCTTCCTTAAAAATTTGTTTCATAGTATAAAACTTTTACACACACCAAAAATATAATAAAGAAACAAGGTAATTACCGAAGATGGATTGCTCAAAATCTTATTGAAGATACTTTTTATTACAAATCAGTGTCAGATAAAGAAACAGTGAGAAAGTGTACGGTGAAGTTATATATATACCATGTACCTCAAAAAGCTCACAAACTCAGTCAAGAAAATTTAAATAATTATTAGAACGAGTTCAAAATTACAGATCGTCATGCATAAACATTATATTAGTATAAAAAACTGGATTTTGTTATCCAACTCTATGAGGAACTACACTCAAATTTTAACCGAAACATAACCCAGAGAGAGAGAGAGAGAGAGAGAGAGGAGAAAAGGTGAAACAAATGAAATATATAATTATTTAGTTGATAACTACTGACAAAGAAAAAGGTGGAAAACCATCAACTTTCGTAAAGTTTAGGAGATAGACAGCGCAAGATTCGGTACAAAGGCATTCAGTTCAAGTTGACAATCAAGGTGAAAAGCAAAAGAGTGGAAAATCATTAAGCTAAACTTAGTAGCCAACTAAAACAGAAGAATAGAAAGTTGTCATTAACGAATGAAACAGAGGAATTAAATGCACAGACTGGTTAAATATTTAAGAAGAGAAATCCTCAATTTATCTGTCCAATTATTATCTATTCAAACAATCTTAAATAATACCAAAGTGAATCAGAACAGAAAACCGAGGTCACTAAATAATAAATAAATTTGTATTATTTACCATAAAATGGAAAATTTTGAAGTATCTGAAATATTCAACGAATGATAAAGCAACACTGTTTAAGAGTTACTGGAGGTATTGGTATCTGAATGGTAAACAGGAGGCATGATAGACATAAAACATCATATATAGTGACTGAGCTTCGATCGATCATAATACACAAACTATACGGAAAGAAGAATCAATATGAAAAGGAATGAAAAATTACAAATAACTTAGAAAAATGGGACTTTTTGAGTTTGTATTTAAATCAGTTCAATAAAACTACTTACTATAATAAATATGTATGATAATTGGAATTTACTCTATTATCTTCTACACACTTTACATTTAAAGTGATAAAAAACTAGTAGATTTTCAACCTACGCGAATCATTGCCCATAATCCCACATTCCTCTCCATTCGATTTAATTTTGTCTGTTTGACCAATACCAGATTGTAAATAAGAATCCACAGGAGTTTGACATGTGGATCCAACTGACATTGATGAAATGGAATCACGTTTAGATAATCCTGGTGAAGGAAAGTTGATAGATGTGTCACCACCCCCATTGCCTGATATTGAAGAAGTTTCATTCAACCCAGAACTATAAGTACTATCTTGACAAGATGAATTAATTGTCTCGTCTAGTGATGCAACAGCGTCGAGTGGATTATCAACTGAGTTAGCTGAATATATATGGAAAAAATACAAACAATTTAATAATTATAACAAAGAAATAACACAAACTCAATAACGAAAAAAATATGACGAAAATAGATCAACCTTAAAAACGACTAGTTAGATTAGCAACGAAAAGCAGACCCCGGAAGTTGTATAACAATCTACACAATATACACTATTATGTGGAGACTCTATCTTCTGATACAATTTTTGATGAATGAGAGCGGAAAGTTTCTATTTTCGGTTGTTTCAGATAAACAAAACAATCTTCAGGTAGCCCTACAGCCAAAAAAATCTGAAGAGAATAAATATTTTATACTGCTTATAGGTAGAATAAAATAATGAAATATATTAACCGCTCAAAAGAATAACAGAACAGAGGAAATGTTTAGAATAATTGAGGTAAATTCCATGTTATCCTTTACTGGTTTTGAAGATAATAGAAACAGTATGTTTTTTATTACATACTTTTGCCATTGACCTCAATTTCGCCAGATATATTTCGTTGTTTTATTGACCTGAAGATGACGATAACAACAACAACAGTGTGGTATGTGTATTGGATAGACATGAAAAGTGATAGTATGTAAGTAATCCAATTGCTTTTTTTGTGCAAACAAAATGATAGGTACGTAGGTGATCAAGGAAATATAATTAGTTTTAATTGTGAAATAATAATACAGAAAACCAATAATCATATAAAGTGTTTAGCATGATTGCTTTGTAAAAGCAGTAAGTTAGAAGTAACTGATCTAAATTGTTTAATTATTTGTCCAGTTTACCTTTTACTTTCAAACCAAACGTTGACAGAAATAATGACACATATCTACTCAATGTTTACACTGATTCAGTAAAGTGGATAGAATGAAACTCCACTACAACTGATACCAGCGCGACAAAGTGCATGATTCAGAGTCGATTAATGAAAACATTAATTGTTAGTTTGAACATAGTTGACACACTTAGACTTCTGGTTGAAAGTTCGTGGTTTTAGAACAATGAGAGATAAGAATCAAAAAATCGATCAAAACACGAGAAAAAAATTAGTGTTATGTCTATCTTCCTTCTCAGATTCTCTTTCATTGCGTTGTTAATTAACGTGATAATTAAGATCAAGACAGTATTATACGAGAAACTAAACATTGATTAATCACTCAATTCAGTTATGTCCCTTTAGTGCATATAAGTAGGGTACTTCAAAATTGCAATATAGATTAATAGTAAAACATTTTAAATAACTACAACTGATATTGTTAAAATTACAAACCGTTCACATAGATAATAAGTTTTTTAGTCCTCACACTGAAATCAGTACAGTGATATAATGTATCAACAACAGCATTTGGTGAGAGGGAGATATTGAGAGGATAATCAACATTCTCCATTATTAATTATTTTAATTGTGAATGTATGAATTGTTCTCATCAAACTACGTTGAGTAGCAAATATCATACAGTGCGACTTAATTTGTTTTCTTTTTTTTCTATAAAAAGAAATCTTGTTACACTCACTGTACAATGAATATGTACACAGAAGTTTCTTAGTGATAAATATGAATGTGTATTAAAAAAGTATTTGATACCCTATCAATCATTGATAAATACAAATATTAAAACAACTTGAGGAAAAAAGAAAGCAAAACAACATGACGAGAATAAAAAAGAAAACAAAATGTAAAATTAATCAACACAGAAAGCTTTCGTTAAAATTTGATTAGAATAAGTGGCTATCCATAAAATTATGTTAATTTAAGAAAAACAAAACATTTCAAATTTAACAAAGTTACTATTCACATAAAGTTAATTTGTTGTTAGTGTTAACATCTTGATGTATACTAAGGATATGGTGAACTCATATGATTACAGAAATATCTCCTAGATAAATTAACAGTGATTTTAGGTAATATAGGATCACAAGTGACTTTGAAATACTTTAAACAAAAAGATGATTCTGCACTGAATTAACTAAACTTTTTACAAAGTGAAAATTTCAGATATGTCAAAATCATCGCGAAAGAAATAATGTATCATTAAAACAAACTACAAGGTTATTAGACTCCATTTCTGTTAACTAAACATACATGACTTATCGTTCTGGAAACTTCACTTTGCTGAGTTGTAGAATGGCTCTTTGCATTATATACCAAATAAGGAAGATAATCGCTATTAACGTTAAAAGGACTTCGGAAGCCTACGTCCTAAACAGATGGATTTTCGGTTGCTTTTTCTTTGTTCTAACCAAGTTTTTGATACCAAAAATGACAAAGTTTTATGGTGAACATACTATTAGTGTTAGTAAAATTTCTAAGCTGTTCAAGCATATATATATGTCAAATGAACTAAACTATTCATACTACACATATTATTGATTTACTTATGCGCTTCATAAGAGTGAAAACTACTCAACAGCTTTTGATATTATCTCCCCCTTTTGATAAATATGAAAATTTCTAAAAGGGTAAAAAGGTAACACAACATAATAGTAGAAATAAACATTTCTCCGAAATTACCGATAAACATGTGTGTTAATGTATTTTTAGATAAGCAAAAATGAAAATAATTACTAACAAAATTAATTATTTAAATACCATTGTTGTTACGATGAAGAAATGAGGGTAAGAGGTGAAAATCTTTTAATGTATTAGCTTTCTTTTGTTTATGACGTGTATCAGAATCACAACGTCGATGAATAGAACAACCTGTAATTTAGTATTATTAATTAGTGACAATACGCATTTATATTATAGCAGGCGTTGTTAATCATTAGTGCAAAAATCAATTTTAATTATGATGAAGAAAAGAATGCAAAGAGAAAACAGAATAAAAAAGAAATTTTAATTAATAAACATAAAAACATAGTGAATATCATATGATATTTCACTTCAATAACAAAGTAAAATTTAACTTAGGAAATCAGTAACAAGTTAAAGAGGCTTCAAACAGAAAATGAATGATTACTATGGACAATATATCATAATTGGTCGACAAGAATTAATAGTTAGAAATCACAATTATTCTATGGATCTGTAACACAGTATATTGAATTGTTAGGCTATGACGTCAAACAGTGGATAATATCAACAAAACACTTTGTTACCCTTTTGAGTCCATGATAAGTGATACGTTAATGTATTACGTTAGTTATTTGCAAATCCAAACACAATACAATGGATAAAAGTGTTTCGATTCACTTATTCTCTTCTCCCTGAATAAAATGAGAAAACCAAGTCTGTATAGAAGCTTTCCTCGATAGAGATTGTGTATCTTTACATTATGCTTCACAACTGAGAACACTGTACGAAACTATGGATAATTGTAACTTAATCTGTATCTTTCATTAATCTGATCTAGATTTGTTGGTAACGCACTACACGTTGTAATGGTATAACACATATGAACAGAATCAACAAAATTGAGAAGTGTCGGGTAAAAAACGAAAGAAAATTATTCTTAAATTCATTTTTTCACGTTCTGCTTTCTGTTGGTACTCAACAGAATAGTAGACCTGCAAAGAACAAATCCAAGAAGCGTATACTCTTTCTGGAATTAAGATAATTTAGTTCCAAACTGCTGATGCCCAAAATACCCGAATGACTCTCGTAAGTTTGTAATTATGTTTTGTTATGCAACTCCATGGTAACATTCAGAATGCTTCGAACTGTTTGAGATACACTGTTCAACACAATATTGAACTATTAAGTTGAGTGAATATGACACTAAATTCGATGATAAAATCAGTTAGTATTACTTTGGTGAATGTTCCCATTAAATTTTCCAATCAACCAAACAGAGAAAAAAAGCCACAACACCTATAAAAATTATAAACAACTTGCCGTGATGGATAAAATCACTCGAACCAATTTGACTGGGATTTAAGGGAACTTTATTGCATGATTCATTCGTTTGGTTCGGTGTGTTACCTGGAACATGTGTATCAATTGTGAGATTCGGTATACTACCAAGTATACCGCCTAAAACATTTGCAGACGTGACGCCAGTTGTTCTACGTCCTTCTCTACTACAATGATCTCGAATACCATTTTTACATTTTAAGTGTATAAATAGATCACAATCTACAAAGTGAAAGAAAAAAAACTGTCTTAATCATAGTTGGACATTAAGAAAACATTGGAGAAACTTATCTACAACCTTGAAACAATATGAAACCATTGAAATAATGATTTTGAAAAGTATTTATCATTATCAGATGAATTATAAATTGAGTGGATATATCAGTTAACGATAATGAGTGATAAGAATTATTTCATTAGTATATAACTTAGTAATTAAATGAAAGTCAATGCACTCTGTATTGACCTATACTCTATTTGATGAGTCGATTCGGAGCTACAAAGTATGATTCTTTATTCACTGATATTTGTTATTGGTGAAAATTACGGAATGAGATAAGTTGCTTAGTTTAATCTCAAATACAGAAGAATGAGTTCAAATAATTTGTAATTCATAAAGTTGATTGATCACTGAGTAGTGAGTAATGCCATGTTTATCTAGTCCTTTAATGCTGAACTAGAACAGTTAACCAATTTATAATATGGTCACTAGTCTAAGCGACTCAACACTGATCACATTATATTTTGAAGTTTGGCGACTGGAGATAGTCAGTAGGTAACGCTGGAACCAAGTTTTGAGATATTTGACACCAGTCAGCAAGACATACTTTCTGTTTTGAGGAAACTGACGCTCTCACGATTTGAAACGTTACCGCTGATCGATTCGGATAGCGGTCGATCCTCTGTACGATTGTGACACTTAAACTGACTGGTGATTTAGAACATACACGCCTAGTTGATGAGTGCCAAGTAACATGAAACCTAGGTGCTCGGTTTTCTGTCGACTATCTGAAACTAAAAAAAATGTCCGTTCATAGAAATGGACGAATACAACTTACACAAACTTCAATAGTAGTATAGCTATATTTAATGCGTGAAAAAAAATTAACTTACTATTACAATTGAAACCTTGTGAATTGAGTCCCCATAATAAAAATCCACATACACCACAATCAGCAATACGTTCGTAAGTGTATTCATAAAATAAATGACCTTTGTGAGACCACTAAAATCGTATTGGTTTTTTCCAGAGAAAACAAATACATGACATTCATTAAGAACTAATTCAAATAACAATTTGATTATATGAAAGTTATTGGACAATAACAAAATGTTCGATAATGTTAACCAAATATCAGTATTTTAGGTATTATAATGGTCAGACTGTTTACTATGCTAGAATCTTCTTCATATGCAAATCATTTCGACTTAATTTCAACTGTATTCTCCAAAAAGCTATTAATATTTCCAAAATTGATTAAATATGATCAAATTAGAAATTTTGACGACCACAATAACAACAACATATCTTGGATTCAAGTAAAATATCCTTTAGTAATTGCTTTGTTATTATTTATTCACTATCTAGTCGGAAAAAAACACTGTTAAAATGACATGGTCAAATTTAAAAATGTAAGGCAAGTATTTAGAGCGAAATGTATAGAGGATAATTTAATACTAAGGAGTTAATGAGAACTGAATGATTGTTGCATCAACATCAGTGTACATACATGACGGCATGAGGGAACAAATCTTAAATCTCAAGATCTAGCAGTTAATTACCATTTAGACTAGAAACTAGTGGTCTGAATTCACTGATCTCAATTAGACTTTGATACAAACCAATTATGATACGAATATCTGTCACTAACAGATTTATTCGATTTTAACTTAATTAATCATGTATATTGATATCATATGTATTGATAAATAGAGAATCAACTAAATATATTTAGCTCACAACTACCTATCTTTAGTGTAAAAGATTTTATAACTTTCTAAACTATAAAGTCACTGTGTATGTATTCAGTGAATAACGATGTGTTCTATAATAAATTAACAGTCTAGAATGAATATATAACTGTAAACATTTGACTAGTTCTCATATTACACTGTGAGTACTTAGTTACGGTATGATTTTTCTATATTACCATGTATTCGTGTATAATGTCCTGACAAAGTGATCTCAATAACCTAATCGATTAAAAAAACGAACATATTTTGCAATGTAATTCATTTCCAAGTTTTAAAAAATCAGTTTTATATTTGACACCAGAGAATGTTATATAATATATCTACCATTAATTGAAATACATGAAACTGAACATCAAGTCTCTATTCCGTTTTAGGGTAAGAAAGTTAATGAAAAACAAAAGCCAGAGACTCTCTTATAAAAAAATAGAAATAATAATAACAAACGTTTGTAATAATCAACATGATACTCACTTTACTTTTACGATTGAGCAAAGAATGTGATTTTTGTTTTGATTTAGCACAATATGGAGTTAATTTTGTCCATAAATGTGAACCAGCAGATGACAGCCCACTTCCAATGCTACCTGATACACTACCTAAACCCAATGCAGATGTAGTTAAATTTTCAAAAGACCTGATTTTGTTAAAAAAAGAAAAGAAAAACATCATCAACAGTTCGTGTGTAAAATATATGGAACTAAGAGGGTTAAAATCAGATACTTTTTAAAGTATCTAGTTGAATATAATTGACAGGAAAGCCTGGACTAATGTCCCACGCTAGTTAAAACTTATCAGAAAGATATACGGGAAATAGAGCTGTTGAATGGATTCGAACACAGGTTATTCAATCTCACAGTCTAAGACATGACCAATAAGCCATCTGGGCTACGACTGACCTTATCATGTAGGATTGAGATATTTACATTGATTGATCTTGAAGTAGAAGCTGATGTATTTGTGGATCGAATTCTATCGATCTAAAAACCTAACAACAAAACATAGAGCAGGTGACGTTGAGTCACTCAAACTAATAGCCATATTGTAACTTAATGGACAGAATTGAAACAGTAGTAAAGGACCAGACAAACATGGCACTGGGCATTGATCAGTAAATGAAAATAATTGCTCAGTATTTTCTGTTTTGAAGTAATTGTATGGTTGATAATAGTTTGTTACCAGAACTACCATAAAAATATATTCATACAACAATCTACATAGTATCAGTTAATAATAATTGCATGCATGCTAATGACTAGTTTCAAGATGGATTTTTCAAGGTCCTTGAAACTAAAGTTGATATTAAAGGAGTAAATCACTGATGGGTCTAAATAAATATTGTACTCTAACCAGAAAAAGAATAATTTAAAATCAGGGAAATCCAATTTTCAGTTGTCTGATAATAAATGTGACTGCCACAAAAACGTGTAGTAGACTGAAAGTTGAATGGATCACAAATTCTGCTGGATCGTAAACCAAGATAAAACAACTTGTTAGTTATTCAGTAGCTCTCAATTGTTGATATCAGTTTGTAGTTGAGATCTTTTTTTATAATAAAATAATTTCACTTCTAGTTTGACTTTTATTTGTGAATAAACTTAGCGAATAAGGAGGAATGTAACAGTATGAAAATCAAATGATTAGTTTTTACATTTTTATTTTTCTCAAACTAAAAAAACGACGTAACTTTACAAATAAAACAAACAGTAAAAACAAGGTACATCTGCATTCTGTTCGATTGTCTCAAGGTTGTTATTCAGAACTGATGGAATTAATTAATTGATATTTCAATATTGATCTGCTACCTATTCTCCCAAATAAATTCTCTACTATATCGGAGTGAATTAATTTCATGAGTAATTTTTCTTAACCCTTACTCGAAATATGAAAGAAAACTATGGAGTATTTTCTATGACAACAATTATTAACAAAACAATAAAGAATGGTGATAGTGAAATGAATGTTTCTTTTTGAAATGTAAAAGACAGTTTGAAGAATAAGAGTAGTACTACAGTACCATCATTTATCATCATCATATCAGATTTCTTTCTGCAATATCTATAGAATTCACAAGTTGAGTTTTATAGTACAAATATTTTTATGAAAACAAGTTAATTGGGAATGAGAAAAACACTGTTCACCTTTCTCTTTACACTACACTATCTAAGGAAATCAAATTAGGCTTGCGTTTTTAGTAGAAATGAAAAAGATTAAGGATGAAATCTCGATTGGTTCATATATACGTAAGATTATACCAATTACGTGCAATTCACGTAACCTACTTGAAATAATTTAAGCAAAAAAAAAGAAATAACTGTAAATCGGAGAGCCGCTTTGTATACTTTTCTCACTTAAATCCCATATTGGAATTACAAAATCATCATGTTTACAGGGTATTCTAACCAGAATATTTATGAATTTTTCTTTAGATTGATAAGTCACGCGCTAAAACAAAAAGATCCTTAATGTTATTGGTAGTTTTAAACTCAACTTCTCGATTTTACACTGGGCACTAGTAACACACCTTGCAAAAAGACTATGTCTAATAGAATGTCCAGAATCTCTAGTTTCAGGATAATCTGCACTTGATATCTGAGACATGGAATAATACCGGTGAGCTGTAACCAAACAAGTAGTAATCGCCTGAGTAATTTGTTCATATGTAACTGATCCAGATGTATTTGGCAATCGACATATGCTAAGGGCAATTGGATTATCTGTACAACTTCCGGTAAACAATTGATGCAATGCGTCAAGGTAACTACTTAAACGCGATTCGAAACATGCCAATTCTTCTTCTTTATTACGAAACAGAACGAAATCAATTGGCTCAGAAAGACACCATGTATCCATACCTGGTTAAAAGGAAAAAACGTACAATCAAATATAAAGACAATAATTTTCAGTGATAGCTAAAGGTGAGTAATATGAATAAAGTCTGTAAAGTACATTTCCTTTAAGATAGGATATAAAGCAAAACAAACTAAAGAGTGGAGGTTAGAAGCTGGATTTTAACTACATTTAAACTGTGTATTAGTGGCTAGATAAAAAATAGGAGAAAGTAATAGAATGTCTGAACTAAGATATGAAAAACGTACACGATGACATTGGCTATCGCCCTAACGTATAGTGGTAAATGAAAACTATCTGGTGAGAGTCTATGCTATAATCACACTAAATAGTTGAAATTCGGGATCGATCATAGTGGCACAGATCCATTCAATCTTCAGTTTAACTATTCCTTCATACAAACTACTTAATCCTGCATTTTCGTAACATGTTTTCAACACATAATCTTTCTATCACTGTTACTACAGTTATTTTGACTTCATTGCTATTCACCTTGTTAAGTTTTATCTAGTAACGACGATACAGTATGGAAGCTTTGATCAATGCATATTTTTCCAAAACTCTAAGTGACTTAAAAACTCTTAGGGTTAGGATACTGTTCATTATTAGGAAAGTGAGCATAGTTCAGATCGTCAAAAAGTAACAAAATCTATAGTGAATTAAACTACATTTATTAAAGAAAAGATAACAATAGTTCTTCTAATCTATGGTAGAAAGTATATCATATACACAGTGAGGTATCAGTGTTAAAATCAAGCGAAAGTGTATATGACATTTTGCCAACCCACCAACAGATATCATTTATGAACCTCCACTGAGAATCATAATAGGTCCATACAAAAAGAACAACTGATTTGATAAGCAAACCGTATGCAAGTGAGACGGTGAAGTATAAAATTTACCTAGATTAATTGCCTCAGCTAATTTGGAAACTTGTACTTCAATCTGATTCACACACTGTTGATCAATAACATTGAACAATTTCGAGCATTCATTAAAATCAAATGACTTCAACACAACTGGAGTTCGTACATCTAAACGCAACGGCTAAAATGAAATGAAACAGGAATCAATAAAAAAGATAATTTACTAATTTTATATACATTTGTTACCGAACAATATGATGCAATATGATGTTTATAATTTCATGAATTCATACGCAAGAATTTGAGTGGTGGGTACTACTTGTGCAGACGGGTATGGGTAATATGTAATATGCAGTAAAAATAGGATGTAAAATGCTTACCAGCATAAGATTGAGATGAAGGTAAGAGGAATGAAAGCATGAAGCGAGAGGAATAACAACAGAATCGGAAGAATGGTGGAGTATGTAAAGGACAGCTCAAGGAAGACATGCAAATGATGTATGATTTTCATATTTTACAAAGGGACTGTGTAATTTTGCATAAAACAGTGCATTGGTTTACCGTACCTGAGTTTTCGTCCACTACATTTCTACTAGTGTACACGAGATGCAAAAATCTCAAAGACATAGTTTCAGGTTTGCATCAACGAATTTATGGTGCTAAACATTTAATTTTTTTAGAACATTAAAACTCCTAATATCATCATGTAATTTGCTTTTTTCAAATGACGTTTTTACGTAAATTTTCTTTCAAGTTCTAGTACGTTGGACGGTAATTAGAAGTGTCGTATTCACGTTGAATTCTCTGTTGCTTCGGTCAGTCACTAAGTTTATCAACTTGTTTCTTACATCACCTACAACTAACTAACTGTACAACAAACAGTTCAAATAGGTTTTTGAATGTAATTAAAATTATAAAAACAAGAAGGATAGGACACAAAGTGTATGAATAGATATAGTTAGGATCAATCTGCATTTATATGTTTGAAAGTAATAATACAGGGTGGGACAGGTGTTATAGTTACCAGAAATCATAATCAAGATAAAATAGATCATATAAGGGTAGTGGAAACTGATAAGTGATTGGGTAATCGCTCAACATGATAAAATAAACAAATATGTGAACATCAATATGACTATGTAAAGGATGAATATCAGAAGACGAAAAAATAATAAAAATAAAAATGTTGGAGAAAGGGTTGAAAAAAAGTGGAAATTAAAATCTTGTGATTGGAGAAGAAAGAAGGCTATTCAGCTGAATGGGTCGCTTTCGTTAAGCACATTTATTTGTTGCGTTATACACTAAATTAAAATTAGTAAGGCTTATTAGATAAACACCTAATAACCATGTCGAAGGAATCACACTTTCCTTCTGCATACATCGGTCAAGTCGGTAAAGGTTTGATAGCGATTGGCTTTGCAAAATAGAGTAAGATTCATGTATTTTGTCTGTTAACTATTTTTATTATTACATCGTTAATGTTTTGATGATAGTTCAGTATAAGTTGTCTTTGCAAAAAAATGTTGTGATCAGCATCGTAACTTTCGAATGAAATCTGGATTTACTAAAATATGATAATTTTATTTTAGAATTGTTAATTTCTAAACGATGGGTAAAAAAGAGTTATTTAACATAGAATCAATAAATCAAGTACTGACCGATGATATATCTAATGATATAATTTTCCAAAGCACAACTGAAGGTTGGCAGTGATATCAACGACATAAATAAACTGAGCTATTGGCTGGTGACTGGCATATTTGATTAAAAAACGTCAACATATGATCAAATTACAAATAACAATAATAGTTATAATAATAATCCCATGATTTACATACGTAAAAAACATTGTGACTTACAGACTTTTCATGTAGAAACGTTGTAAATATTTCCAGACAAACACGTTTTTCATCTTTAAACAATTCTTTTGACGAAGCCATTGATCGTTGAAAGTATTGGTTGACAATGTGGAAAAGCTAAAAGAATGGAATATATATTGAATTACATTTATGGCGATTTTATACGATATCCATCGATACATTTCAAATAATCTAAAGCTCTAAACAAACAACTGATTACTCAGATGGAATCAATCTATGCACAGTCGAAAATAATTTCGGTTAGAAAATTTTGTAAAAAATTGCCACAGAGAACTTAAGTCTTAAATCGATCAGTTATAATCAAGGTATAGCCTTGGAAAAATGTGAGTTAGCTCACATTGCTATATCACATCAGCACGAAGAGATAATACTAATAAAATAGATAGTTAAGGAAACGAAATAATATAGTACCAAAGATAATAAGAAAAACTGAACATTGACAATATGAAATGAAAAAGTAGAATGAGAAGGTATGTACGAAAGAATGGTGGAATTTAACATCAAGAGAAGGATAAAGAATGAAACCAACTAAGTGGGTTAATTATATTGTCTATAATTGCCCACAAAATCCATAAACAGTGATCGTGGTTATTACACAAATGATCCTGATAAGGTAATCAGCAGTTCAACACTCAATGACCTCACGGAACGATCAAGCCAAGATATGTAATCATGGTTTGATCGTTCCTAGCTTCCTACCAAAATATACGTACGAAAGACGACAATGTGTTTCGAAGTAGATAGTGGTTGGGCAAGTGTAATACATCTTTACCACCCCAGTCAATGAATATTAAGAACCACATAAACAGATTTCCCATCTTTATGTAGTGGTTTGCGTCTAGCCCTGATATTGCTCACTCAATAACAGAAAAACACCGAAAGGTACTTATGACCAAACACTAGTAAATTGCCAATGTCCTCTATTTTTAAAGTCCACAGTCAGAGCGAAATCCTACTCAGTATATTAGTCGTATGTTTCAGAAATAAACATTCACCAACATCACAAGTGATGCAAGTTAACAAAAGCGAAAGAACCTTTTTGAATTCTCGCTGAGAGTATTTACACACTGAAACCACTTTCCTTATAGTTAGTCAGTGTTTTTGCATACGATGATTGCTGTGGAAATCCTTCATTCTAAAATAATCTAATGAACGGCAACAGGGATCCATAAAACAAGGTTGAGTTTAGGAATTTCTCTATAAAAATCTTCCGTTCTCTTTAGTGTAGTAAGGTTGCATGATTAGGAATGTAAATCATACTGCTAGTACAACCACTTATAATTAAATGTACGCTCTTATTATCAGGTCGATAACTAGCGAATATTAATCCAAACTACTTGCACTATAAGCATACTAATATCCGACTTCGCTGACGTGGTAAGATGTTAAGTAACAAGTGCCGCAATCAGTCTGGCTCAACGAGATCACTGTGGTAAGCTAGCACAAACATTTTAAGGTAGAAACTATCCTATAGTAAAAGAAAATCAATTAAGTAATGAGTTTAAATATACAAAATAACAGTTAACGATAGGTTGACTAAAAAGATGAACATCTGTACTTACCGTCCATGTAGGATCTCGTTTATGGGAAAACAAGTAATCGATAAACATAGCACACTTAGCTGGACTATTCATTACTGACGTTGCACTGTCGAATTCTGATGATAAGTGAGCAAGATCATTTGCAATGCTAAGCTGGAAATAAAGAAATATAATGCAGAAGATATACAGTGAATTGTTGAAACTGTAACCTGCTACTGTTTCACAGAATGATGTTTGCAATAATTTATCAGAAAAAAAGTAATTTAACCTGAAGATCTAAGGATAAAAATTATCATTTATTGATATCACCAAAGAACTTAGTTAAGTTGAAGATAGTTGTATTCAAAAACCAGGTAATCTACATGCAAACAAGATTCACTGGTTAAATAATTTTCTGAATATTCTTTAACTATTATGATACAGTGTTATCTCTACATGTCCGACATTTCTTTTCATCAGTCAATTTCATAAATTTCTTATAACGTCTAACGAATATGAATTTAATAACTCGAACGGTCACTGAGCAAAAACATTAAAACAGTAAATAAATACCTCAGAAAAAACCTTTTGTGTTTAATCGATTTGAAAGTAGAATATAATTTGAGGGATTTAAGAGACAAAATAACCTTGAATTTCACTCCATATACACTCCTCACACTGTGTAATTCGCTCTGATTAGTAATTTGTTAAAAAATCCATTTACTGATTATGACAAATGAAAGAAACAAAATAGGCAATCTCTAGCAGACGTTGAAGCAGGTAAGATTTTATGATCAAAACTAAAACAATTTCAAATTATTACATAATATTAACCAAATAAATATATGATAAATACACTGGACGACTTGCAAATATTCGAAGTGATATGCTTTGACAGTCAAAATACAAAGTACATATATTGGTCAAAATTATGATGCACATCAAAAGCATTCCATAATAATCGATTATTTCTATAGTACGAATAACAATAATAATAATAATAGTAATAATAATTATTATCATTCAATTCATTCTAATTGGAACCAGAATATCGATTAGATCAAAACAGAATTTCGAATAAATAATGCACGAGACGAAAGTACAACAATCACATGTAAAATACAGTTAGTGTACAGACAATGCGCACATACGTACATCTCACACCCCCACCCATATATATATATATATATATATATATATATATAGAGAGAGAGAGAGAGAGAGAGAGAGAAGCAAACAGACATCATGTAAACAAATTTTTGATACTTTACGAAATATATCATGAATGGATTGTAATTTGTAAATATCTTAAAACCGTAACGCAAATATATACATATCAGAGTATATAATTTCGAAATTCAACGTATTCCAATTCACGGAATAAAAAATAAATAAAATCTTTCTTTTCTCTTTACTAAATCAATATTAAGATTCGTTTGCTAAATAAATGATGTTTTGTGCAAGACAATGTACACACAGTTCTCTCTCTCTCCATATATATATATATATATATATATATATATATTGGTCAGAAATCAGACTATAACAAATTAATTAGGATGATCAGAAAATATTGATTGGTGATAAATTTAAAAAAAAGAGACTGAATTAAAATGAGATTAATATTGAACTAATGAATTATTGCAATATTAATTAGAAACCATTTAGTAGTTAGTTTGGAAAAATTTTTTAGTTAATATATTCATATCGATAGAGTTCAATTTTAAAAGTTAATTGTAGAATGTAAATTGTTTATTACAAGATTATAAAATATGAATAAAACAAAATAGAGATAAATATTTTGACAAAAGAAAATATTTGCGTTTAAAAAATAATAAGATTATCAATGCTAACAACCATATTATACAGTCGATTATTCAACACTTGAATTATTGAATTAATCCAAGTTAGACCATCATTGAAAATCTGGAAACACTGGACAACCGTTTCGTTCTAGTATAGGACTCCTCAGTAGTGAGCATCACCATACTGACAAAAATATTAAGTAAGCAATGTATGATATTATTTAAATAGTAATAAGAATACAAAAAGCTTATTGGAGTTATATTATGAAAGGTATATTTGAGAATACTTATAATGAACTCTACAAGATATTATAATCAACTGAAAATGCCTATAATGTAGTTATGTTATTCAGTGATGTGAATTTAAATACAAGATCCGAAATAAATGTTAATGTTGAGTTTTACATAAATGATGTAGAATTCTATTTTACTTAGATGATATCTTCAAATGAAAAGTATCTTTGAGGAAAACTTATAAGCCTTTAAATTGTATGTAGTAGTAATTACTCGATAATCGATTAGCACTAACAACACACATTTATTTCATTTCCTTATTATATGATTGATTTAGTTTATCATTTATGGGATCTTTAAATAGTTCATGATCTTTCCAACGTTATTTTATTGTTATTAAGTTGATGATACTAATTAGGTAACTTTGTGCATATATACACATTTATGTTGGAGATAAACACTAGTGATATGTATTATGAAATAGGTTGATCTTACACTAAATTTAAGTTATACAAACCAGAAATAGGTTACATTCTCTTTTCTGTAGGTACAGAACTATTGAACACAGTGTACTGTATAAATATAATAATAATAATAGTAATAGTAATAATAATAATAATAATAAGAAGAAGAAGAAGAAGAAGAAGAAGAAGAACGAAATCGGAGCACACAAGAAATTAGTTCAATTTACTTTATTTATTTTTTCTGAGAAAAACAGACATACGGAACGGATGAATCTACGAAAACACTATATAGGAAAGAAATAGTATAGAAGAGTGAAATACTACATATATGGTACTGACCAAATGAATTTCAATGAATAGCAAAATGTTACTAACTATGTCCGCTAAAATTAATGAAAGATTCAAAGGCTATGATAAGTCATATTAATGGAATACATGATTGTATACTTGCTTTTAGGTCACAGTTTTCTACGTGTATGTAATATAGAAATCCTACCCTATTGTCACATTAAAGTTAGTGGGTCACGATTTGAACTTACAACTTACTGTTCCAGTGCCTCCTCATTATATTAAAAGTTGCTTCATCCATGACCAACTAATTGTTACTGAACAAAATCACATGACACTGATTATTATCCAGAGACCAACAAGTGCACAGATGCTTCACAATACAAAAGTGACACTCTAAGAGTATTATTAATCAATAAGGTAGAACAAATTCACATCATTCATATATAAACATTAGTTCAACTCTTAACTCAATCATATATATATATATATATATATATATATATATATATTAAAAGGGTGAGATGTGGAAAGACAAATGATTGATTGATAAGTATTTCTATAAACGACGTCACCATAGTTTAGTGATAATATATACAAATATACCTTAAAAAATCGTTAAGAAAACGTTGAACGCTGTGTTGATATGTGAATAGTTTACAATTGAATACCAAACGTATATTAAAAATAATATTTAATTTATAAACAAATACAATCTATCTTCAGATAGTACGAAGAAACAAAAATTACTGACAATATATTCATTACATAGAAGAAAACAATGATGAGTGACGTAAAGAAATGAGTACAGTAGAAAAGTTTCAACTGAATGGAGATTTAATTAAAAAACAAATAAATAAATAAATTTATGTGATTAAAGATTATGATTATGATAAGACAAATGAAATTGTAATGAGAAAAATTAATCCACTAGAGCTGAACTCTAAAACAAACCAATCTAGATTACATATATGTATATAGGGCTTAAATTAAGAGTAAACAAATGGGAAAAACAACAGATTTAAATATTAAACTAGATGTCAATACTGTTGTTGTTATTATTAGTAATATTGACAATCTTGAACACTTTTGTCGTACTCAATGCCATTGTGGTGTATGCTATTGATGTCGATAGATATAAGTAGTATGTATCACCAGTCGAAAGTGTGATGCATGGTGGCAGAAGGTTGATAAGATCGAAGAGGAGAGGACGAGAACAGACGGTGATTGGTATGAAAATAAAAGAACAATCAAGTTTGAGATAATTGATTGACATCTTGCAAATGAAGTATTTACTGTATAGCTCTCAGATCTTATTACGACATTCTGCAATTATGTACGCGAATACACTTGGTTGTCCCCACTTGTGTTTTCGTTCACTAGACCGTTAGTTGATCAACCCTAGATTTGTTGTGAAGGAATTAGAAGCAGATATTTTTCTTCTTAAACTTGCAATTGTAAAGTATAGAGATATCAAACAACGTTTACTACTGATGCTTATAATTGTTATACAGTTATATATATTCTTCCATAACGATGTTGTATTCCATTGCACAAGAACGGTTTGCATAATATAATTATTGTTGTTATCACTATTCTTGATTGTTTATGTTTCAGTGAAAGCAGAATATCACCAATTATTCTAAGGCTCAATATTCTTCATGTAACCGCAGCAAATGGCAAGATGATTTCACAATAGCTAATTATTTTATTTAAAACAATGTGAACGATGTAAAATTAGAGTACTTTTTATAAGAGTTACATTTGTGATCGTATTTACCGATTAATTATTGTAATCTCAGGAAATCAACAATTGGTTTGCACTAATTGTTTAATTGATCCATAACGTAAATCTAACTTATGTATGAGGTAAAAGATTTCTATAATCCGCTTTGGTGTAAGAGCAACTAATACTTGGGCGGTCGAACTGATTAAGCAGATAGATGAAACGGGTTTTGAATCTGCCGCCAAGTGGTTAAAAGAAACACCGGGACTGTAGCCACTAAACTATCAATAATTTAGCTTCACTTGAGATAATTAACAAATGTAATACAAATAATTTCAATACGATTATTAATAGATAGAAAAACCATGAATACGATATAACCCATAGCATATACTGAAAGGAAAGTATAAGGAATTGAAAGATGTTACAACACATTCAGTTGCAAATTAGATTATAGTTTAAAGTATGGACAGCGAAACTCACATCACTTTCACCTTCATCGTCGAAATTCCTACCCATAACACGACCAAGAGGTGGTGTACTACTAGAAAACTAAAATCACAAAAAAGGATAAAATAAAATAATAAAGAATAAAATACACACTTGTTCACATTGAATAGAAACTATCTAAGCTCATTACAAACTGTACTGTATATTGTTTAGCCTTGAAAGACGGCTACTGAGATTATTTTACAGAAAAAATCTTTGTGTTTGTCAGTTTTTTGACTAAATAAATCTTCCGATTCCCTATGAAAATTCAAATGAGATCACTGACACAATGTTTTATCATTAAATTCGATACGAAACACATTGTAGAGAGAGAATTCCCGGTTAATGGCGCATCAGTGAATAAGATAATCAATAAAAAACGATTGGAAAATTTAATGAGAAAACAAATCAAAATGTTCTGATTTATCCATAAAAGTTTATCTAAGGAATTATACGAATGTTACTATGATACGAACATTCACTGTCCTAAAATTTGTTCATTTGACTCTCCAGCTATGTTAGTGCCATAATTTACACTTCTAATGCTAAGTATTATCCTGTTATTCTTTGTTTGCTTTAATTAGTTACACAATTCACTGAATGCCATAAATTGAAAAAAAGCTGAAAATAACTTCGAGATCAGTGAACAGTTTAGTGGCGGAAACATTGTCACTGGTGCTAAAGTCTATACTACACAAATAATAATCACGTTAGTGGTAGGGTTTCTAGTTAAGCACAAAAGGTCACTTCAAATAGAAACCACAAATTTCCAAACTGACCAATGTATCAAAGAGAAGTATTCATTTACCTTTAACTAAAAGTTGTCTGCTACGTTTATTTTTGTCATAGTTAAGGTGTTCAAGAATCGAAACTAATCCATATTGTCATCAGTATTGGTAGATTTCAAAACTCACCAGACTTAACTAATTTCAACTGATCGATCAATACCTGAGGTTTTATCTTCTCATATTGACAATACAAATTAAAATATGCACAATAGTTTGTTGTATTATTTTTTTTCTTTTTTTGTAAACATTCAAGGTTGTATTGGAATTCAGGGTATATATATATGTAAAAAATGCAAAACTCAAGTAGGTCAAAAGCATCTCATAGAGCTTGCTATATGTAGTTTATCGATTAGAAATAAATTTATACACCTATGAAGTAAGCAAGTGCACAACCACTCAACCTTGCACACAAGCACAAATAGAGATAGTAAACCTACTTCTGGATGAAATGTGTTAATTGTAAACAGAATGGTTGAAGATTTGGAGAGAGACAATGATAATAGTCAAGTAACTCTAAAATATCAAGTTCAGTTTTAAACTTACATGTGTGTTTGTGTGATATAAAAAGTTTTATTTACGGAAATAAAGGATTCACAGAGGATTTGAATATCAAAGCTTTCTAATTTATTGAATAAAAAGATCAAGTTTAGCGCAATATGTAAACAGAAAATTTTATTTAATTTCAGAGTTATGATATGGTGGTTAGGGTGTATGATTTTCATTTAAAAAGTCGCAAGCTTGAAACCAAGTATGTGAACATATGCCTGGTCAATTGTCTAATTTAATTCTCAAACTAATAATTACTAATACTAACCAGCATTAAATCAAACAATATATATTTAACAATTTAATATCTTTCGGTAGGGAAATGTATTAGGATATTTGTATAACACAAAGTATTTCTTTGAAAAACTAGTCTTTTTTCTTATTAATTAAATTTCAATGGAATACCAGAGAAATGTTAATAATTTTCTTAGCCCTCTTCCCGATATATCAGCATACAAAGTATTTGTTATGATTGTCTAAAGATCCCCATCATATTAAAAGACTAATATTTGAACGAACAATATTCTTTTCGAAAAGTTCTCTTCAGGTCTTACAATCATATATCCAAATTAATAATCCGAAAAATGGCCAGGTCAAGGGCAAAGTGCGTCGTTTAAAGTTAAAGCATATTAATTTAGGACTATCAAGAAAGTAGAATAAGATTCTTAATGTTGATATGACTCAATGGGATGTTAACTTGAATTAGCTTATATATTAAATGAGAATTTCAAGATCCATGATCAGAATAAATATGGGTCAGATAGGGTGAAAGAAATAATAGTGTAATTACAATTTGATCAAATGTTTAATGGAAGACTATATTGTATAAAAAATTAATAAGACATAATAAGGTGGGATGAATGAGAAGTAAATAAATCATGTATTGAGGAGACTAATAAGGATGTTAAACCAATAGTAATAACAATAATACAAAAATTTGTGAATAAAGATAACAGAGACAATTACATTGACTACGAAAGGTCGTATATTTACAATTGAGCGTAACTTAATGATGAAAACTAGCCGAAATCCCCATGATAGTAACATTTAAACAGTAAAATGGGTCTTAATAATGCTGAAAGTATGTTTTGTTGATGAAAGGTTCAAAATGGTAAAATTTAAAGCTTCTAAATGATTACTATAAATTATAACAACATAGTAAACCTTAATTTTTACTAGCTATGATTTGACTGCTTAAGTGATAACTTAAGACAAATTAATATACTCAATATTTATGGCAAATGAAACCCAGCATCTTTACAGCTTAGGAAAATTAAGCTGTACAAATGATATAACAAATATTCTCTGTCCATCTATTGGTATACAAAAGTAAGCAAGAAGTAATTTTCAAAGACGATTTGGTTAAAAAAGCGGTTATCAGTATTAAATTATTACATAAAAATCCTGTGAACATAATAGAGTTTTAATAAAAACAAAGTAGTGAAATTGTCTGCAACGTTTTGAATGTTCAATAAGCGAGTTTGGATGCATCACTTTCGGTCACTTTTCCATCTAATTAGTACGTCAGTCCTGCATAATAGTGTGATTTACATTAAACATTTAATTTTAAGTGATAAATTTCACTAAATTTCTGTTTCTAATCTTACATTTAGGGATGCGCTACACTGAAGTATTCATAACACAATTGCAGATAGCTCCAGAAACTGAATAAAACCACTTAGTTAGAAATACACTCAAATATGCAGCACTCACCAATCAAATGAAAGGAAAAATTGATCTAAAGTGCTATATGTAGCACATTTATTGAATAGTGAAAACACTGCTGATAATTTCAGATAAGTAAAAGACACTGATTATGGACGGAATGTATTTTTTAATATCTCACAGAAAAATAGACATTTTCATGAACATTTAAACAAACGAACAAACATTAAATATAAATTATTCTCTTGTATGTTGGTGATTTACGAGAAACAACAGGTGTGATTTATCTAACCAAGGATTTTGTTATTTTTTTAAGACTATTTATCCTTACTGTTTCTAGGTCAGTTCAATTCATCTATTATTTATGCAGTTATAAAACAAAATCATCATGTTAAGTTCAGTTAACTTTTGATTGTCTAATATCGATTTCCACTGTATCCAAAGAAAGATATGTATGTGCATCACTAGTTTTCGTACAAATGATTAAGTAAAGGGTATAATTCTTACTACTATGACAGCTAGTCATACGCCACGTAGAACCTGGCATATAACCCATTAGTATACCTAAACGAAATTTTCAGGGCAAATTCCAGAGTAATAGAGGTAGTAACGGTATTAATTATAACGGAAAATATTAGGCATCGGAGCAAAGTTTTACTGGGACGAAAATTCACTAATTTTATTTATTAGTGAAAGAGAAACATCATAGTTGAATCATACAGTAAATGGTGTACAGTTCAGAAGTGTTATAATACATAATCATCAGTCGGATTCATTCAAATAATAATGTGTTTTGTCTAGATTAAGTTCAAGTATCTTCTTGTAAGAATGCCGAAAACTCATCTAACCAAGGCTTTCCTAGACTAAATTATCTATGGTCACAATACAGTAGTGTATACACTATTCAATTATGCACATTACAACAATAATAGTTTTCTTAAGATAAGTTATCCAACAAAATTTCAGGAACATTTTGTGTCCCGATATCTGACTCTAATTTGATCGTAGGATGATTGCTATCGAAATATACATATCGTCAATCCTCGTATTTATATTTATAGTCAAATCGAATCGAGGCAAGGCAGAGGCTAAGTGAGGCAAAGCAAGGCAAGGTGAAGAGAATAATTAACAAGGTCAAAATGGAACTCTAGAAGAGTGAATAAGTTGGTCTGTCCAGAAGCTAGAATAAGTATATAAGCTTGACATACAAACTCTTAGAAAAAATCATAAAAACGAGTTTTTATTAGAAAACTAGTGATATTGATGAATAAAAAGAAATTTGAAGCAACTAGTCACTTTGACAAATTTTGATAGTGTAATAAGAAGACAAAGGTTATCAGAACTATGTGATATATTAGCGTAATACACTTCGAACAATCTGATCACATACAAACTAGTTAAGGACATTTGTACATAAAAATAAAAGGTCAACTAGACTAGAAATGGAGGGTAAGAGGAGACAAGGATAACAAAGAAAATAATGTGAAAACAATTTGAAACCTCATCACTCTGGATAATAAGCCAATAATACCAGGGTAGGTTTAAGGTGACAACAAACTGATTTTGAATACACAAACGGGGTTTGAATTTTCGTATGGCTAAGGCTTCAATAAGCCTTACTATACGCCCTTTTACACTTTTGTATAACACCACAAAAGCCGTGTTAAGATCAATCTTATGACCTGTTTCAGCTATGTCTTTGGCAATAGAGGATGATGAATATTTATCCTCAACTTTTATTGGATCATTAGATTTTATTTGTTTCTGAAATGAAAAGAAACGAATTATGCTAATATGCAAATATCCTATTTAAATTAAAATAAATACAGAAGCATTATTGCATTTTTGATAAAAGTCAATGCAATAAAACAAGATGCTACTTGATAAACATGAACTGAATGACGACGATGATGATGAAATATTACAAGGAAATGTACTTTGAATTACATGTTGATTTGTTTCAAAAAGGGACAGAAATCAAGGAAAAGATAGGAAGAACGGGTAAAGAAAACAGAAAAGTATGATTAGTATTTTGATTACATTTTTATGAAAAAAAAACACATAATAAATAATAAATGTGAACAGAATACACGTAGGTAATATGTAGAATATGTAGTGAAACAGACAAGGATTCTTTTGGCGTCATATTGGCTGTTTCATTAGATTAAAATGAAACTGAAACTCATTAAATAGATACTTAAGAAAAAAACCAGAATATTAATTGGAAATAGAAGTAATAAGTAGCACAATTAGCGATACAAAATAAGACATCTTTAGTAGTAATAGTAATAATAATAATAATACTCCAAATTGAAAGTGATTTATGCTAATAAAGAAAATTTTATTTATGACAAAGTTAACAATAATCTTGGTGATTACATCGTAATTTAATTGCCCAATTCGTTTATCTAATGATTTAAAATAAGTTCCATTTCTTTATAGTCAATGAATATTTGCTAATATAACTTTCTACTATGTCAGTTCACAAAGGTATTTTTATAAAACAACAAATTTATTCAACAGGATGGTACAATGATAATAATAGTAATGGTAATCATTTCGTTGGAATAGTAAATCATATTAGAAGTGATCTAATAAAGTTAAATGGGAAAATTGATAGTTAGTCATTCAGTTATCAGTAACACAACCTGGGCACAAATAGGCAATCAGTCCACGTCCCCATATCATATCAACATAAGTAGATGAAATTATCAAAAAATATCCAACATAGTAGTATTAATGATAGTAAAAGAAAATATTCATAGAAAATACGATTTGAAAAGAATGAATTCATAGAATACAAAGTATAAAATAGGTTTGAAACTCAAGATTTAACTATAGAGATGAAAAGTGTGTGCATTTGTGTCACTAGACAAATTCAGAAGACCGTTATCCAACTTCTCCAAACATTGTTCATGGTAATCGCATCGACTCCAAGCAGCTACGAACTAAATATTGCACTAGATAATCCTATACACATTTAAAGCTTAGTAGGTTAAGCACTTGTTCCCTTAGACCAGTAAGTGATTGATTTAAACCACTTCATGCGACTTCACTTCAGCCAGGCAGATAATATAATCACTAAACTTGGTAATTTCGTTGACAAAAATAACCAAACCACTTATTCAACTGGTGGATGATGAAGACTTACATGAATTGAACATAATCCATCATTCATTAATTCAAAAATACCATAGAAAATATATAATGATGTAAGCTAAGATTCATTAAAATGAGTCCATGATTGGTTTTCCAAGGAATATCAGACTAAATATACAATTTTCAACACATTATTGTCAATATCACCTAGGTATAGTAAAACTGAAGATTGATAGATAATACTCACACAATTCTGACATTTCAATCAGATAGAACTAACTTAAATGCATATATTTATAACCTATTATACAGTTTCCAAGCATTTATCAAAACGGACAGTAAATTAGTTGTTTACTTTACATTCATTTGGCAATTGGAACATTTAATTTAATCATTTATAAAAGATATTAAATTTTATAATAAAATATGTAGTCAATAGATTGAAGAATGTAAATGTCACAAGACAAAAAAAGCACGAGTTCATAACTTAAAACAGCCAATTGGCAGTTACTTTACATTTTTATATAGTGGATGCACAAGGACAGATATTGTATGACGCCTGAATAAACTACATAAATGTCAAATTTTTCAGCATACAGTAGGTGAGATTGAAATTTTCAGACTATTTGTTAAATGACTGACACTCTACATAACCAGTAATAATGAAAATGGTATAATTGCAGTTAACATATTCATTAAAATATTTGCCTTTAAGTATTGTTTTAAAGAATTTGTAAATAGTTATTGAAAAGAGAATGGATAACAGTAGATGAATAGCAATTGCTAAAGTTTTCTGTTGTAACATTTTTAAAAAATACTGTTAAAAACAATATCAATGACAATCCAACTCAGTAGCCAAGTGCATGTTTATGTGTGGGCTAGTAAATACCATATTTGCCTGCTGAAATAAAGTGGGTGGAATAAAGTTCGAACCTGAAACTCAATAGTTGAAAGTCGAGTTCGTTATTTATTAAGTCATCACTACAAACAGTTATTATTTTCGTTTCTTACATTAAAAAAAAAAGAAACTACAACACAAAAGCTAAAAATAGTGTTTTTTGAATAGTCGAACTAATCTCCTGAATTGACTTCCTGGATGATGTGAATCCCAAGTGACAACCATCAAAATCAATTAATATGGAGTGAATGTATTCACTCGTCATCATGTTTCTATTCTTTAAAACCTTAAACATTTGATTACTTTTCATGTCTCTGTCTTTATCCAAGCTACGGACTAGGTTTCTAGTTTTGATTTCATCACATTTCCGTGTGCCGACTTGAAATGATAGATTTACTGTAAGAATCCATGTCTGTTCGTATATTTTATTAGTTTCGTATTCTTCGAATCAGTCACTATCATCTGCACTAAACGGACAAAAAACGTCCTTGATTGTCTTGTTCAACGATGATAAACGCTAAAGTAATAGTATTGTAGTGAACGAGAACCAATTTATTATTCAATGTAAAATTACAAAGTGCCTTCGTAAAATATGAAAACCATACATTAAATACATTATTTTCACAACTTCCTTCAGTTGTGTTTTACATGCTTGATGATTCGTTAAATTCCGTTGTTGTCACAATTGCAATTACAATAGCATGCACAACAGTACAAAGCTATCGTCTTAAATAGTAAATTAGTCTGTTTAGGAAAGAGAGAGGTGAAGAGAGAGAAGATGCAGAGTACACCATCCCATTACACATATTCATATATCAGGTTTATTTATCTATCAAATTAAAGTGCTTTCACAATAATTAATGAATCATACGTTTGAGAAAAACAATTTATAGAGTTTCTAGTGTCATTCAGAAACTATAGCTGATGGTACTTAAAATCATTGTCGGGACAATTTCTTACGATATTAAATAACAAATGAACCTTTTCGAAATCTCCTACGTTAAAAATGAATGAAACATGTCAGAGGTTGTAAGTTGACAGTTCACGATGATGGACAATAAAATCGACACATCAATCAATCAATAGCGTTAAGGAAAAGACGCAAAAATCGTACGTTTATAGGACGTACCGTTGACTGATCCTTGAGATTACCGGTAGTTTTCTTATTTGATGTACCATTAGATTTAGAATGACCAGGGAAAGACATTCGAGATAACGACTTAGAACTACAACTGCTAGTACTACCACTCCCATTACTGTTATTCTTATTATTCGCAGTTGTAGTATCACGAGATGATCCATCCATAGAACTATCTTCCTCCCTCAGACATTCTGGATGATTTACGTCCTAAAAAATGGTGAAAAAAAACAATAGGAGATCAATTTATGTTTTCTTAAGAGTCGTAGTAATCTATGTTGCAAGATCTTGATTGAATTCATCCGGTTATTTTGGTGAGCATTGATTTCCAGTGACAGACAACTAAACTGAATCAATTACATACGGTTGCTAAGAATTAACTCTGCCTGGAGCCCTCATAGAGTTACTGCTGATCCCAGGCCCGGAAAAGAGAGCAGAGTTGGGCTGAATAAACTTTCTTCTAAGAGTAGAAGGGTCTTTCATATAGAAGAGTAACGGCACCTCATTATGAAGGCCGGGTTTTTTCGGAAGCCACAAGGCCGACGGTCCTTCTAACAATCAGAACAATAAACGTAAGCACACGGAATGTCTAGACAACGATCGGAAGGATCATTCAAATAGCAGCAGAAATGAGAAGATAAAACCTGGCTCCGCTCAGAATAAGCGGAACTCATTGGAGACAAGCTGGACAAAAAAATAGCTTAGGAACAGGTTTTATTATATTCTGGTCACGAAGAAAAAATTCCCCACATACACAAGGAGTTCCATTGATGCCCTACAAAGATGAATGATAAGCGCTTATGGGATGCGAAAACTACGGATTCGAGATCATCAAAACATTCTTCAAAATAAAGAAGGAATGGATTGTAATGAATGTCATACACTGCTACACTTTTGATAAAAATAGAAGAGGTGCTAGGAAACAGTTTTATGAGAAGCTGCAGTCCGTCCTAGAAAGTGCACCAAAAAGAGACCTGACCATCTAGATAAAAGAAATAAAAACACTAAGGTCAGGATGGACAAAACCATTGGGCAATATGAACTGAGAGAAAGGCATGAAGGTGGTGAGAAATTGACAGATCCATGTGTTTTTAACAACATAGTTATAGGTGGTAGCATTAATTCTCACAGACGCAAACAAAGATACATGGGTTTCGCTAGATCACACCACAGAAAACCAGATTAACCACATCTATATGAAGAAAAACTTCAGAAGGTCCATTGAAGATGTAAGAACAAAGAGAGGAAATGATGTAGCTACATATCACCATCTGGTGGTGACCAGGTTAAAAGCGAAGCCAAGGAGGCTTTAGACAATTTGAAAATTGGGAGGAAGAACAAGTGCCAACAGACTGGAAAGAGAGACATCTCATCGAAATACCGAATGGAGATCGAAATTAGTATGAGAAATACAGGTATCACACTACTTTCAGTATCAGATAAGATCTCAACGGAATGTTATTTAACCGAATGTAATCTAGACATCTAGCTTAGACATCAACAAGCTGCATTTAATAAGGATAAATCAAGCGCTAATCAAATGGCGACACCAAGGATCATTGTTGAGCAATCAATAGAATGGAACTTACTAATATACATCAACTAACTTGATCATAGGGAAGCATCTAACAGTACCAAAGAAAACCTTGTGGAATCTTCTTAGACACTACAAAGTACCTGGAAGGATCATCAGCACTATATAGGAAATTATATAGTGGGCTACAATGCGAAGTCCTGCTCAGAAACAGGCCACAGATGTTTTCTGAGTGGAAACCACTGCAAGAAAGGCTGCTTACTCACTACTTTTCTTTTCATGGTTGACTAAATTACGAAGACCATATCAAGGGAAAATCCCGACTATGGTGGAAATTTTGAACGCAAACGGATGACTTGGACTATATTCTATCCCACACATAGTAACAAATATAGATAAAGGCCCCAAGTGCCCTGGAACGGTCAAGAGTGGGGAGTCAAAGCTCCTCGAAATACCATACGTATACAACAACTGTCAGGGAAGTCCTGCTCATCGCCTTCTCGTGGTAGCGATGCTGTTTACGAAATTCAGAGGACGAAAAACGAATGTCTGGAACTTTAACTGAGTTGGTGAACACGGAGAGTCTAACTAGGGGAGTTGGAAAACCCTGATTCTAAACCATTGGTACATATGGGCTCCAGGATCCTAAGGAAGCAAAAGGCGTATAAACCTTTTGTTGGTTAGCGGCAACTATGGGACTTCATCTTCTAAGGCTGCTCCACCACCATGTAGATTAGACCTCTATATCAAAGGCTCAGCGAGTGACCTCAAAAGAAAACCACTTGCTTCAGTTTAGACGCTCGGGCATTACACCAGCCATCAAATAAATCGGATGACAGTGTGGTGCATGTACATCTGGTGTCTCCTTGTATCAATTTTTATATGTGTACATAAATAAGAAAAAAACAATACAGGTAGAGACTGCCACGTAATACGCATGCTCAACCACCGGCTACCACGAAGCGCAATACTGACCACCGTTGGAGACGGACGGAAGAACGTTGGGGGCGGTCAAACCAAAACATGGCATCAGTCGTTGAAGTCACTAACGTCCGGTCTAAGACATGTTGGTAGATACAGACTACTTGGTTGGAATCCCCGCGACTATCGTAACCAGTGGTTGTGGAGACTGGGTGCTATGGTTCAGAATCGATCACAATGGCGTAGGTGTATACACTCGTTGTGTTAATGAAGTATGACAATTTAAACCGTTGCATATGTGCCTGGTCCTACGTTGTAGACGATTGAATGACTATGTGGTTGGCGGATTTTGGTTGGTGGCCTGCGCTCCACTAGGAATAACAGGCGTAAGTAAGTAGCCAAGTAACTAACATGCAATGTAACCAAGATAATTACACTGATTTATACAACGGTCGCATAGGTAGTCCATTTTGTATAAATGTTTCTTAGAGACCTGCGATTGGCAGCATGTGCCCCAAGATGGGAAACAAGCTTAAGTGAAGTGAAGTGGGTGGGACGAATTGTTATTTAGAGGAAAAATTTAGCAATGGCACGTGCCATAAAATCAGAACATCTATAAACATCAAATATGGAGACGTGGTAGACATTAAACTCAGACACAAATTAGTAGGATATCAATACGTTAAAAGCAAAAAGTAAAGGTCAGTGAATGGCCAAGCAATCGATTTCAAGAATCAAACGACCAATAAATTAGTTTTTATTGTTGATACGATGAAAATATTGTATAAAAAGGTCGTATAAAACTCACTGTCATAATAATTATCGTCGTTTTGAAATGTGGCACTAATCAACAAAGGAAATTCACATGTATATCAAATTCTTACTATCAACCTGACGATATATTTAATTACATTTATAAAATTACCCATTAACATGTGCATGAACTAGAATGAGGTAGATACTCAAATCATACAAATAACTACTTAAATTATATTGAAGTGAACCAGTTAATTTAGAAGAAAAAGGTAAAACGTTTACCTTGACTGAGCCCCTTTTGAAGAGGCCAAACATATCAGGTCCTGAACTAACAGGTCTTTCTTTACTGGTATGATCACTGGGACCAATACTAGAACGAGGTCGAACCATCCTGGATGTGGGAGGTAAGCTAGCTGCATTGGTTGGAGGTATTTGGGGAGATAAACTGGGGTTAGGTTCTAAGTTAGTCTGAAATAAAATAGGGAAAATTGAAATAAACTTTATGAGTAGTTGCGGCCAGGATAATTCGTTTGGAAACTATTATGATAAAATCATGAAGACTTATTTTCGTTGACCTAAATTTGTATCCAGTTTTAGGTATAAAACGTTTGCTGTAAGATATGTAAAAGACATGGGGAGTATAAACTAAATGTATGACGTAACTTAATTTAGTTCCTTTAAAATTAGCAACAGTCGAGGCTTCTCTTCATGACTAAATCTTATTTATATTCACTACATGCCCAAAGGCATATAAAGTTAAAACCGAACATAATTTTAAGTAAAGCAACAACGACAATATTTTCACAATACAAGAAGTTTAAATGGATCGTGTATTTTATTGTGTGATATTATCTTCAACTAAGTTAGTCGTAAAGAACATGGAACTTGGTACAAAAGTGTCCCAGTCTTGTTTAGCATAGCCTACATCAGCATACAAATAGAAAATTGACAAGATAAAAACCGAAGGGAGTGAAATAATAATACCAACAAGTCAAAACTTAAAGCATGGAAAAATTAGTTAGAAATAGAAAATGTTATTAGTTAAGTCGTATTAAGTTAAACCAAAAGTAGACGGTACATTCAACTGTATCAAGATGAGTGGACAGTTTTGGTTATATGTCAACTGAATTTTAGTTATGCTTAAGTTTGATCACTCCTTGACTAGATAACAACAACTGAATTTTACTTATTACTTTTAAATAAAGTATTTTGCTTAGTACACAAGTGTAAGAAAGTGGTATGTTATTATATATATATGTCAGAGTCGTAATTTGTCTAGTTTTTCCGTAGAAAGTAAAAGATAATGGTGATAATTAGAAGACAAAAAGAATGAAACTTACTAATTAGATGTAGGTCAGTTCGTTACAATGCAAACCAAGTTATTTGATGATAACGGTAAATAAAAGTTATGTAATCAGACTGAACTAGTCGAAGTCGATTTCAACCAACAACTTAGTTGGAAATAACGGCAACTCATTGACTAGGTACATTTTCTGTTCTTTATTTTTGAGCTGCGTTTTAAGTGAGGTTAGGGATTGTACACGGCTGCCCAAACAAAATGAGATGGAGCGGAGTGTGAACATGAAACCTAGTTATTGAAAGCCAAATCCCTTCATCTCCAAGTCATCGCTTTATTGACCGACAACTTAACACATTACCAACACCTGTCTCTTAGATTGCCCGGTAGTAGTTGGTACGAAAAGAAGAGAAACATATTTCTCCGCTTAGAACTCGCAATTTGAATGAAAAACTGTATGTCAAAATTAACTTCCGTTAATTATTGCTACAAACTCAGCCTGTAGCTCTCGTAGAGTTACTGCCGGTCCCAAGCCCGGGTAAAGGACGAGGTTTGGACATGAAGTAGGCAACCCTATTCCATAGAAAACATCCTTGCTAAAAAACGACCACAAGATTAAATAAATTCAACCATTTAAACTCTGCCCTCCGATTTGAAGAATTACGATGCCATGATGAAAGCCGAGATTCTTCGGGAGTCACGAGGCCGATGCCCCTTCTAACAACCAGAACAACACTTAATATAGGTACATGGGACGTTTGGAGAATATGGGAGACCGGGAAGACCAGTCAAATAGCTACGGAAATCAGGAGACACAACTCGGTGATCCTCGGAATATGTGAAACTCATTGAACCCAAGATGGACAGCAAAGGTTAGATACGAGAAAGATACTGCTGTACTCCGGTCACAAATAAGAAACTGCTCCACACAGGCGGCGAGGTGATCTTATTTTGTCCAAAGAAGCGCGGAATGAACTTATAGAATGGAAATCTAATGGATCCAGAATCATCAAAGCATCATTCAAAACAAAGAAGGAGGATATCACGATGAATCTTATGCACCCATCAATGATGGCAATGACGACAACAAAAGTCAGTTCTACTCGACGCTGCAATCAGTCATACCGAAGTGTCCAAGAAAGGATTTCACCATACTGATGGGAAACCTAAACGCAAAATTTGGAATGGACAACAACGGTTATGAAGATATCATGGGACAATATGGACTAGGAGAAAGGAACCAAAATGGCGAGAAATTCGCAAATTTATGTGCATTCAACAAATTGGTTATAGGCGGCACAAACGCATACACAAAGCTACACGGGTCTCACCGGCCCACTCCACAGAGAACCAGATAGATCATATTTGCATCAGTAAGAAATTCACAAGGTCAATAGAAGACGTGAGAACCAGGAGAGGAACTGAAATAGCTTCAGATCACCACCTGGTTGTGTCCAAGAGGAAACTGAAGGTAAAGAAACACTTGACGACCGGAGAAACAGTAGTACAAAGGTCCAATACAGCCTTCCTAAGCTGTAACAGAAAGAAATATCAGACAACTATACGGCACAATGAAGAAACTGACAGGAAAGTATTATAAACCAGAGAGACCGTCCAAGGACAAAGAAAGCAAGCCGGTCACTGAGATTCAAGAACAGAGGACCGGATGAGTAGAACACCTCGAGGAACGCTTGAATAGACCAGTTCCAATGAATTCACCTGACATCGAAGCAGCACATACAGAACTTCCCATAGATGTTACTCCACCAATGATCGAAGAAATCAGGATGACCATCAAATAAATTATCAATATCATCCGAAATTCATACGACAGACTACAGTGCGAAGTCGTTCATGGAGGACAGCTAACAGATGCATTCCAAGTGAGGACCGGAGTCAGACAAGGCTGATTACTCCCCCCTTCCTCTTTCTTTTGGTGACCGACTGGATTATGAAGACCTCGACATCGGAGGGAAAGCATGGAATACAATGGACGGCTCGGATTCAATTAGATTTGGACTTTACAGATGACCTGGCCCTTCTATCTCGTACACGCGAACAAATGCAGACAACCAGTGAATCAGAAGCCTCTGTATCAGTAGGCATGAACATACACAAAAGTAAAAGCAAGATCCTCAAATACAACACGGAGAACACCAATCCAATCACACATGATGGAGACTCTGCAACACAGCAAAATTCACGTACCTGGTCAGCATCATTGATTAACGTGGAGGATCAGATGCAAACGTAAAGGTGAGGTAAGGACAGCATTCCTACAGTTGAAGAACATATAGGACTCAAAACAACTGTCAACTAATATCAAAGTCAGAATCTTCAGTACGAACGTCGAAACAGTCCTACTTTACGGAGCTAAAACTTGGAGAACTACCACAACCATCATCAAGAAAGTGCAAATATTTCTAAACAATTGTCTACACAAGATACTCCATATCTGTTGACTGGATACCGACAGTAAACCAGCTTGCAGATGAAGAGGAAATTAGGAAAAGACGTTGTAAGTGGATAGGACATACATTGAGGAAATAATCAAACTGCATCACGAGTTAAGCGCTAACTTGGGATTCTGAAGGAAAACGGAAAAGAGGAAGGACGAAGAACACACTACGTCGGGAATTAGACGCAGATATGAAAAGGATCAATAGCAACTGGAAAGGGTTACCCAAGACAGGGTTGGATATTGAGTGCTGATGGTCGGCCTATGCACCTCCACGAGGGGGAACAGGAGTAAGTAACTACTGCTACAAATAACCTTCCGCCTCATAAATCGAGATTGTAATTGTAGTATAACTTATGAAAAACGCCTTACAATGACCAGACAGTAACAGAGAAAAAAGAAAATGTCATTTTGGTGCCTTGAGTTATTAGGGTGTTAGCTATCGATTATGAACAACTTTCATTGAAAAACTGATGAATCTCGTCATGGTACGCAGATAACTTATTCCTGTTTGAGGAAGATGTTGATTAAATAATTTTCTGAAACCCTTGAGTAACGTAAAAGAGAATGTTTGGGATTTGTCTATAAGTGAAGTGTGTAAGACTACTTTAGGACTGGTCTACATCAACGCCTAAAATGACGACAAGAAGTGAAGCAGCTGAGCACGTTTACCAACCCTCTTATCGTGAAAGAAGGATACACATCTGATGGCGTAGCAGACTGCTATGTAAATCTGTGGTTATGAGCCATGGTCAATGAAAGCAGATGATATGCACAGACTGAATGTATTTAATCACAGATGTCTTCGAAGCATCGCTTATGTATAGGAACAACTAAGTAATCTATTCTGACGTCAGAAGTGGGATAACCAGGTTATAAATCTGTATTGAGTGAGGTACATAAGACATGTGTTATGCATACCTAACCACTGCCTACCTCAGTCCAAAATGCTGACTAAGAAAGTACTAAGTATTAAAAAAGCGGGGGACTGTTAAACCAAGATATAGCATCAATCACTGACTATTCAACTGAACCGTTTCAGCAGTCTTAAACTACCTAGTTGGGTCGCGCATGATTACCGCGACCAGCAGTTGGAGACGCTGAATTACATCGCTTAGAATCGATCATAGGAGAACTACTTCATTTAATTCTTTTCTTTCCTTGAACCTGGAGTTGCGATATACCGTAATATATGTTTCCTTTTCGGGCTGTTTTTGTAATGTTTTAATTTCATCGATATCACGATCTTTTCAGTCCTACAGTACTCATCTTGTTAAACTCATTTTGTTGTATTGATCTCTTTTAATAACTCGGACTGACGCGCATTTTTTCCAAACTATGTTCTGATTATAAATGACTGGATAAAGAAAATCCATACATATATGTTTTTATCCAACTCCTATAGGATAGCTTAATCAATATACGACTATTATAACTACAAGTGAACATAAATTTACTTGTAGTTTAGTGAATCTAACCTAATAATATAAGACACACGTAACAGGTCAAAACAAAAATGTCAAATTACCACAAATTATTCACAGTATAATTCACCCACTCATTATTACCAAGCATAAGAAAACGAACTAAGGTATTTTAACCAGGATAAGTTTATAAAAATTAATATTTATTGCACTGTGTTTTACAGCACAATAAACTATTTTGTTACCTAAATTTATGGCCGGACAGATAATAAGTTGGATATAAACGATA